GCAGGGTGGAGGGGAATGAAGGGGGGAATAGAACAACTGTAACAGCATAATCAATTCAAAAAAATAAATAAATTTTTTAAAAAAAAGGATGTGGTGGCAGGATAGCCTCAGAGCAAAATATTTTTTTCTATCTGTGTAGGTTATCTCTTAAATGTCTGCTGTCCTGGCCTGCACGCCTTTTATATCTCTATTGCATTCCTGCCGTGGTGGGACAGATGGTTTTTCTGTGAGGTCACCCTGAGTCATCTGTCTGAACATGATGCAGCTAGACTCTCTGGAGTTCAGCCACCTTCCCAGCAAACTTCCAGAAAGTGACCCCTGTTTCCTCCTGCTCTGGAAGCTCTAAACTTCACCCTCTTCTCTCACCAGCCAAGCGAATCTCCTCGTCTCAGGGGAAAAAGGGCTCTGCTTCTCTGAGACATTATGTGTACCCACAAGTCAAATTCTCTTTTACTCCCCCAAATTCTGTGATTTCTTTAAAGATATTAGGGTCAAGGAAACTAAAGCTAGAGAAAGTGCAGGGAATGTACTTGTTCCATTCTGTCAAATATCTCACCCGAGGTAGAGAAGTATCAAATTGGCTCCCTACTTAAGAGGGGGAAGAGGAAATAGGAAACTAAGAAGCAATGAAAATGTGTAAACATCTCAACGTATTAACTAGCTATAGTCTTCCACAGCAAATTTTTGTGCCTTCAAATAGGAAAGTGTATTTTTTTTTAAGATTTTATTTATTTATCTTTAGAGGGGAAGGGAAGGAGAGAGGGAGAGAAACATCAATGTATGGTTGCCTTTCATGCATCCCCTGCTGGGAATTGGCCTGCAAGGAACTGGTCTGCAACCCAGGCATGTGCCCTGACTGGGAATCGAACCGCGATTGTCTGGTTCGCAGGCCCGTGCTCAATCCACTGAGCTACACCAGCCAGGGCTAGGAAAGTGTATTTTTGACATAGATTCAACTCTCTTAATAGCATAGAATTCAAGTTTTTAATTTTCCGGGGCAGTATGCACTGTGACTTACTCCCCAATATTTTCATTCTGTTCCATGCTTAATCTAAACAATTCAGGGTAATTTACCCCCTTGTCAGTGATGGGTTCAGGGATAAACAAACTGAAGTTAATTTGGGTTAATGAAATTTAAGGAGAGTCTTGGTAAGGGCTGTGGGACAGAAACTGCCTCAGTCTCTGATGCCCTGAACGAACGGCAGGCACTTCTCTTCTCCTGTAAGTTGTGAATGAGGAAGCACAGATTTCCCATTGCCACTGGCAGTCATAGTAACAGTAAAGATACCAACAATAAAGATAATTGGATTTAGGTTACAGCCAAAACTGTAGATGGCATAACAAAGAAGCAGAAAGAACCTGTATCTTGATGCCATTGATGCAAGAGATAGCATAGGAAGAATTTTGAGACTGAGCTGCTGTTGCTGCCCATCATCTAGCATCCCAGTTGCCAGAAAATGCCTTTTAGCACTTAGGTAGGATGGATAGTAAACCAAGGCAGGGAGGAGGAGGGACACATGTCTAACCCACTAACTCAACAGTCCTGAGCCCGGTCCAATAGTATTGCCGGGTTTCAGACATCACAAGAAACTCTGTGTTAGCACGGGGGTGGGGGGAGTCCTTGAAATTCTATGTATCATTTTCACTATCTGGGAAAGAAAGCCTTGAAACTGTGTATTCATCCCAAGGCCTGGAAGCGGGGAGAGGAGGAAGTTCACCGAGTCCAAAGAAAAAGCCCATAAAACAACTTTGGTTAACTGCCTACCTCTGGTCACTGTTTTACTTGGGAGTCCCTAAGCTTACAGAAAGGGCCTATAAATAACTTTAGGTAACTGCCCCAACTTTAATTAACTGCCTCCTGTCACATATCTGTTTTACGACAAGGGGTCTAGAGCAAAATAAGGATTCAGGCTAACAGACCCCCGCCCATACCTACATTTGGGTAGTCATGTCTCCCCGGGAGAACTGGTGCCACCTTTACCTGTCAATCAGTATGTAACTGCTTCACCCCCATCCCGCCAACTATGTAAGTCCCCAGAATAAAGGACCTGGGGTTCTTGCCACCCTTGCTCTTGCTTCTTGCCACCCTTACCATGCCCTGAACCTATGCCTTTTGCCCCGACTTTGGCAACTCTTGTTCTCTTCCATGAGAACGTATCACTAATAAACCCTGCTTGCAAGGTAGTAGACTTGCTGATCTGTAATTCTTTTTTTAAAATATATTTTATTGATTATGCTATTACAGTTGTCCAATTTCTCCCCCCTTCACTCCCCTCCACCCTGCATACCCTCTCCCACCCACATTCCCCCACTTTAGTTCATGTCCATAGGTCATACATATAAGTTTTTTGGCTTCTACATTTCCATACTATTCTTACCCTCCCCCTGTCTATTTTCTACCTACCATCTATGCTACTTATTCTTTTCCCCCAGTCTCCCCCTCCCACTCCACTGTTGATACCCTTCCATGTGATCTCCATTTCTGTGGTTCTCTTCCTGTTCTAGTTGTTTGCTTAGTTTGTTTTAGGTGTAGTTGTTATAATAATTGTGAGTTTGCTGTCATTTTACTGTACATATTTTTTATCTTCTTTTTCTTAGATAAGTCCCTTTAACATTTCATATAAGGGCTTGGTGATGATGAACTCCTTGAATTTGATCTTATCTGAGAAGCACTTTATCTGCCCTTCCATTCTAAATGAAAGCTTTGCTGGATAGAGCAGTCTTGGATGTAGGTCCTTGCCTTTCATGACTTGGAATACTTCTTTCCAGCCCCTTCTTGCCTGTAAGGTCTCTTTTGAGAAAACAGCTGACAATCTGATGGGAATTCCTTTGTAGGTAACTACCTTTTTTTCTCTTGCTGCTTCTAGGATTCTCTCCTTCATTTTAATCTTGGCTAATGTAATTATGATGTGTCTTGGTGTGTTTCTCCTTGGGTCCAACTTCTTTGGAAGAAGAGCTTCCAAAACTAATCTCTGAGCTTCCTGGACTTCCTGGAAGTCTATTTCCTTTGCCAGATTGGGGAAGTTCTCCTTTATTATTTGTTCAAATAACTTTTCCACCTGTTGCTCTTCCTCTTCCCCTTCTGGTACCCCTGTAATTTGGATGTTGGAACATTTAAAGATGTCCTGGAGGTTCCTAAACCTCTTCTCATTTTTTTGAATTCTTGTTTCTTCATTCTTTTCTGATTAGATGTTTCTTTCTTCCTTCTGATTCACACTGTTGATGTAAGTCCCAATTTTTTTTCCCATCACTATTGATTCCCTGTACATTTTCCTTTCTTTCACTTAGCATAGCCTTCATCTTTTCATCTAATTTGCATCTAATTTTTTCATCTAATTTGACACAAATTCAACCAGTACTGTGAGCATCCTTATTACCAGTGTTTTGAACTGTGCATCTGATAGGTTGGCTATCTCTTCATCAGTTAGTTATATTTTTCTGGAGCTTTGATTTGTTCTTTTATTTGGACTATTTTTTTTTGTCTTGATGCACCTGTTACATAGTGAGGGCCAGAGCCTTAGGTGTTCACCAGGGCAGGGTAACCCACATCGAAGGGTTGTGATGCTGTGCATGGGGGAGCGGTCTGAGAGGAAACAATGGCACTTGCTCCACTCTCTGCCAGATTTCAGTCACTTCCCCCACTTCCCACAAGGATATTGGGCCCTTCTGGTGCTGACCCCTGGGTGGAAGGGGCTGTGTATGTTCTAGGACCCTGTGGGTCTCTCCAACAAACTCCTCTGTGAGGCTGGGAGTTTCTCCTATAGCTGCCTCAACCCCCACAGGTGTTTTCCATCAGTGGTTTGAGGCTTTGAGGATTTCCCCACACTGGGATTGTGGATTGTGTGGTCCATTCTGCTCCCCAGTTTCTCATGGTTTATCTGCACTCGAATGTGTGACCACCCAGTCCACCAGCCACTGCCTTGCTGGCCAGCTGCAACCTTGTGCACCATGCCCAGTTCCACAATTTGCTGCCTCACTGATCTGTAATTCCTAACTGTGTTGGCGAGAATATCCATTAACACCATCATTCAGCTATAGGATCTTGTCCTAACTCTTTATTGTTTAAGTCAATGGTCAGTTGGCCTTTCAGTTATTTGCATCTCAGTGCATCCTTCCTGATACAGAATTTGGTGCCAGGAATAGAAGTGATGCAAATAACAGGTTGTATGGGGACCTCCAACAAGGTATGTCCACATCCTACTCCCTGGAATCTGTGAATGTTACCTTATTTGGAAAAGGGGTCTTTTGTAGATGCCATTAAGTTCAATTTTATTATTTGCATGTTCAGCCAGATGTTGAAGAGACACAAAGACATTTTAAAAATTATTTTCACACTTGCCTTTATTATATGGCCATTCCTCAAGATCAAAAACATCTTTATTCAATAGGATTTCATATGACCCAGAAATTTAAGGTATTAAAAAAATTAGTTCAATGAATTATTTAACAATGTTACTAATTTCAGAAATTTATTTTTCTATAACAAAAATCCTACACTGGGAATCTGAACACCTTTTATCTTGGTCACTCTGCTGGGGGGCTTTGAATTGGCCACGTCCTGCTCTGAGCACTAATTACTTCCATGGAGCTATCAGCAGTTCCCAAGTGCATCAGAATCGTCTGTGTTCTTGTTACAAATACAGATTTCTGGGCCCCATCCCAAGTCTACTAAGTCATATTTTCTAACATCAAGGCCTAGGCATCTCATTTTAATTAACTGCATGATTATGACATACAGACAGTTTTGGGACCCTCTGAATTAGATGACCTCCAAGACTCTTCACAGCTCTAAAAATGTGACTTTCTGATTTATGTTTCTTTTATCACTGTTTGTCCATCTTCACTACTACATACTGTGCTAAAAAAAACACACACACACACAAAATAAACCAAGACTATGATTGAATCATTTTGTAACCTAGTAGCTACACAGTGCCTGGTATGTAATAAGAACTCAATAAATATTTGAAGAATTATTCATAGTAATTAAATAAATGCATATTATTTTATGTGGGCCCCAATCACCTACAGATAGAGAAATCCAAATAGAAAATATTCTAAACTTTCCCTGTTTAATCATGTACTCCGTCTGTCCTACCACACATTTCAAATAACGGGTTGTGTGTAAGAGGTTAATGCATCTTGAGAGACCCAATAAGAAAGTGGTTGAGACTCGCCTGTGGGCTGGATTGTGCCACAGTGTTTCCCAATGGCACCGACCACTAAGGGAGGGTCATAATTCAGCAGGAGTTAGTTATCGTCTCCTTGACTTTCCCAGGTCCAGAAAAAGCCATATACTGATCAGATGACAGATATTCTTGGGGCCATCCTGCAGGTCTTTGAACCTGCAAAGGCCATCGCAGGTTTCTGTGTGGCCCCAGGGATTGGGAAGAGGTCCTCATCTTCTATTAGAAGTTACCCATAAATTCACCAGCAATGTGTGTCAGCCAAGCAAAGTGTCCCCAGAAAGTCTGATGCCACCTTTTGTGACCTCAGAGTTCCTTCTCCCAGATCCCTTCTGGACACTTCACTGACCACCCTTTGGGCTTCCCCAGCTCAGGCACTGTCTGCTGGCCTTGGAAGGTACCGGCTCAGGATGAAATCTGTCACAGGGGTGGGCAACTTAGCCAAGGGGAGGTAGAGGAATTTGGCATCCAGGCCAGGGTTGTAGCGGATGCGTGGGCTCCGGGAAACAATGGCATGTTCCATGCTATTGGTGACATCTCTGAACCTTGGCTCCGCTGACCGAGTCATGTTTGTTAACTTCTCAGTATCTGTTTGGGGGAGGGGGAGAATAAAAGGTTCTATTATTTTTCATTAAGGATGGTTCTTTCTGAATTCCATTCAAGCTCCCTTTCCATCAGATAACTGATCTAACATTTCAGGCAGATCCACCACACCCTCCAGGTTGTCTCTTACACAAACATCCTGTAAATAATCTTATTTCTATTCCTAAATTCAAGAAGTGTGTATTGTACTAATTCAAAAGAATATATCCATCCCTATGTTCATTACAGCATTATTTGCAATAGCCAAGATATGGAAGCAACCCAAGTGCCCCTCCATAGACAGGTGGATAAAAACATGGTGGTACATATCTACAAGAGAATATTACTTGGCCATAAAAAAATGAAATCTTACCATTTGTGACCACATGGATAGACCTATAGGGTATTATGCAAAGTACCCATTATAATATACCATATTTCGGTATTTGTATGATTAAAATGCCCTGCAATTTTACTTATATGTGGAATCTAAAGAGCAAAATAAATGAACAAAGAAAATAGAAACATACTCATAAATATAGAGATCAGATTGATGGTTGTCAGAGGAGAGAAGTTGAGGGGTTGGGTGAAGAAATTAAGAAGTACAAACTGGTAGTCACAAAATAGTCACGGGGACATAAGTACAGCATAGGGAATATAGTCAATAATATTGTAATGACTACATATGGTGCCAGGTGGGTACAGGAAATATCAGGGGGATCACTTGGCAAAGTATATGATTGTCTAACCACTATGCTGTGCACCTGAAACTAATACACAATAGTATTGAATATTGAATATAAACTAATTGAAAAAAAATCATGTGTTGAATTACTACTATTGTGTTAAACTAGCAACAAGAAAACCTGTGCCCTGTTCTGCTGTGCATTAGTTGTATGACCTGGAGCTTAAACTGTCATCATCTGTAAAATGAGGATAATAGTACCTGTCCTAGAGAATAAGAAATATATGCCCTGGCTGGTGTAGCTCAGTGGATTGAGCGCGGGCCTGCAAACCACACGATCGCAGTTCGATTCCCAGTCAGGGCACATGCCTGGGTTGTAGGCCAGTTCCCAGCAGGGGACTCACAAGAGGCAACCATACATTGATATTTCTTTCCCTCTCTCCTTCCCTTCCTCTCTAAAGATAAATGAATAAAATCTTTAAAAAAAACTATCATTAAAAAAAAGAAATATAAATAATAGCAGGTTAGAAAGTGGAGGAGGATGAAATAAAAAACAAATGTATTTAACTGCATAGAAAAATTGGAAGGAAGTAAAATATTGTCTGCCTGTTGGGATTTCTAGTTGCTGGAGGGATTTTTCCCTCCTGCTCACTCCCTAGAGTTCCCACTGCTTACTCCCTAGAGTTCCCAAATTTTCTGCAAAAGCATTCGGGGGGAGAGTGTCATTAGAAAATAGTAACACTGCCCTCACCTTGGTCACAGGCATTGTGGGGTTCAAATGATCTCAGGCATAGACGGGTGCCTGGTAAGGCTCTAACAAATGTGAGGGTATTCTGTTAACACTGGGCACGTGACTGTGGAGGTGGGTACAAAGCACCCAAGTGGTCCAAGCCTGCTGAAGCCCACCACACAAACAGGAGAAAGGCAGGAGATACACTTCTGGGCTCTGATCTGCGTGGGTGCCCTTGGGCTTGTACTTCAGCGACATCTCCAAGCACTCTGAGGGAAGTGGTGCCTGAGAGTCAGACTTTGAGATAAATGATTAAAACTTGAAAATAAAGAGAGAGCTACAGTGGGTTTGACTTTGGAGATGGTCCAGGAAGGCTAGGGATTCACCCCTCTGAGACAGACACTGAGTTGATGAGGGCAGGACAGTACCATTTGAGTATCCTTAACCCTGGCTTTGAGGAACTTGCCTTTCCGTTTCCTAGAGAGAAGACTACTGCAGTGAAAAAGAACAAACGACCTTTTGGGATCCCCAAAAGAGCCACGCTGACTTAAAAGCCAGACTCTCTGTAAAGTGATAATGTTTTAGGATGCCAACACTCTGCCCTCCAATCTTGGGCCTGATCCATAGTCCACTAACAGCAGGTCCAAGCCAGGAGGCGAGTGTCAGGAGACTCATTCAGGATGCTCAGGGCTGAGTACTTTCACTCAGAGCCAGGGAAGGCTGTGTGACCTGAAGAGACAAGGAAGCTGATGTGATAAGATGATTTTGGAACTAGGCTCTGAAAGATTAGAAGGACCTACACAGCCAGTGGGATGGAAAAAGCTGCCTGAGACATGAAGTTGTATAAGGCACATTTGTTCATTGTTCTTTCAAATATTTATGGACCTCCTATTTTGTGCTGGGCACCCTGTTAGACATGAAGTGGAAAGGGGGACAGAGGTACCCATGTAACCGGTCATTCTCCTATATAGTGAAGAGCACAGGCTTTGGATTCAGGCAACAGGGCACACTTGTGTTACTGTGAGAACTCAGCATCAGGGACCAGGCTTTGGCACTTATGGACCCCATAGTTGAGTTTCTGGCCTCTTCTCTTTTGCCAGGGACAACTACTTCAGATCTAGTCCCTCCCCAGGAAGGGAGGGTGCCACGTCCACAGTGGGATCCTTTCCTTGACAAAGTCAGGAGGGGAGGTCCAAGACTTCAAAGAAGCATTTTCCAACCTGGTGGACGTGGCATGGAGGACCCTGCTATACCCATTGTGATTGTTTTTGCTTTGGGGATTTTGACCTCTTCCGCCCTGATTATTTTGAATACCATTGCTGTGATCCAAATAGTACAAGCAGATCTTTCCCTGTTCACTGAACAAAGTAATAATATTTCAGAAAGTACATAGACCCTGTTCACTGAACAAAGTAATAATACTTTAGAAAGTATATTGAGTGATGTGACTACAGATGATTTAGAGAGTTCTTGGAACAAAGAAAGTAACCATAGTAACACACTAGAAGAAATCAGGAAGCAAAATATGAGTATTGGAGAATTAATAGAAAGTTAGAAAAAGCCTCATAAGATATTTTTCCGGGCCATGGTACCTTACATAATGGCCCAAGAAGAGAGAACAAATATCAAAAGAAATAAAAGAATTAGAACCCCTAGCAAAAGAGGAAATAAGGAAGGGCATAGACAAGTACACAGGTCAACCAGGAGGGCATGTTTACCCCCCACCCCAGTCAATTTTAGACATATCTAAAATGCAGAATAAGAATAGGCCCCCTGCAACAGCCTAACCAAGGCAGACAGTCAAGTTCCTGTTCAGACCAAGAAGCATAGTAACAGTAACTGCAAAAGCCAACGAATCCGAAATTGCTTGCCGGCTGAAATCGCTTGCCAGCTAGAATAGTTTAAAAGCTTCAGCCTTACTTTCAGTAAAGGTCTTCAGAGCATCATGTGCCTTGAGCTGCGTAGTTGCCTGATTTCCGTGCCAACTCCTACCTTCACCTCGAGGGGACCCTTAGACCCGCTGCAGCTGGACCGCGGCAGGAGGGGGCCAAAAGGGGAATTTTTGGTAGCCTTCCTGGCAGGGTTGAGATAAATAAAGAAACTTGGCAGGTGACTGTGTTGCTTGTAGGCTGTGGCTCAACTCTAAGCCTATTAGGACGAGAATACTGTGCCCTGTTCACACAGGTGATTCTGTGTGCTACTTCTTTGGGAATGTTCCAGTGTTAAGTGGTTATTAATTAGGGTACATATTACTCCAAGATACCTAATCTGGTCCAAGGTTCACAGGCCTCGGGACTGTTTGATTGGCTATAACTTGCTGGACTGTCTGCCCAGTTGAGCTGTATAACCACTCCTAAATCTTTAGTCTGTCTACACAGTACCTGCCTCCTTAAACACTACCCACCCCCCACCAACACACAGTTCCCATAACCACCAAGACTTCATGCCTTTGTTGTTCCTTCAGTGAATTTCTGCAACAGCCTCTCAGCTGGTCTCTTGTCTCCACCCTTACCCTTCCTACGGCAACACAAATCTAATCAGGTCACTTCAGAGCCGTTTTAACAGGCTCTCCAATGCCTTCAGGATACGAGCCACACTCCTTAGTGTGGCCATCAAAGCCTGTGATCTGACTCCTAATCACTCACAGCCTCACCCCCACCACAATCCCTTCACACTTCTCTCAGGCCAAACTGTACTAGATGATGGCTGAGGTTTAATTCTCTGAATGATTCATGAGAGAGGAGTTATTACACTTTATAAGGAAGAAACTGAAGTTTAGACAAGCTGTGAAACAGCCAGAGAGACGGCTATGATCTAAACTCTGAATCCACACTGGCTCCAAAAGCATGCAATATGGTCGGGCCTTCAAACACTGCTCATGCTCCTCCCTGCACGGGAAGTAGCTGCCATCTCTTCCCCTACTGGTTCACTCTTCAAAGCTCTCTAAACAATCCATTGTCACCTCTGTGAAGGTTTCTACAACAGCAGAAGTAAGACTCTGCACTGTTGCTTTGTTGTTGTTTTTTTAAAATATTATTTATTTATTTTTAGAGAGAGGGGAAGGGAGGGAGAAAGAGAGAGAGAAATAAACATCAATACGTGGTTGCCTCTCATACTGTCCCCTACTGGGGACCTGGCCTGCAACCCAGGCATGTGCCCTGACTGGGAATTGAACCGGCGACCCTTTGGTTTGCAGGCTGATGCTCAATCCACTGAGCCACACCAGCCAGGGTGTTGCTTTGTTTTTGTTTGCATGTTCATTGTTGCATGATTCTCCTGTGGTGTTGTATTTGCTTCTACATCTCCTCTGCTAGACTGATTCCTGGACACTTCGTCTCATCATCTCTGTGTCACCATACACTCCAGTTAAACTGAAGTGAAAATTAGAGTATGATCACCTGGAAATTTTTTTTACCTTAAAGTAGTCAAATGCTGCCTGAGATTTTTTTTCCTGCAATTATGGTACGGACAACATATTACTCAGCACATGGTATTTTATAAACTCGGTCCTTACTATTCTTCAGAATGATAGCAGTTTTTGATAAGTGGTTTTCAGGGGAATTTCTTCTTTCTCCATGTTCTTTTAAGGCCCGGAGAAGATTACAACTTTTGCCTTCACTGAGCCACTTTACATACTAAGAAAACAGCCTAGTGAGGTTTTCCAGTCACAGGCTGAATCTGTGTTTCACCCTAGGCCCCATAACAACCCCATAAATAATTTGGGCCACTCTTTCGTAAGGGAGAGTTTTAGGATGACCTCCTAGAGGATATATATTATTCCCCCTCCCCCCACCCACCCATCTATTTCCCTTGCTAAGAGCAACATCTACAGAGTTTTCTCTGGGGATTCTTGCCTCTCCCTGAGTCTTTTGGTCTGGCAGAGCACACGACCCACCATGAGCCAATCAGATCTTCACATTCCCCTGGCTGCAGTGATGAGCTCACGGTTGGGTACATCCTGCCGTCCTTCTGACTCTGATCCTGCCATCTTAGGTCCATCAAGTCAGACTATATCTTAGGCCTTTTGAGGAGTTATTGAAAGAACTATCCCTGGGAGGAGAGGAGGAGATGCTGCAGCCATGTGACCGCCACAGGGGACAGAGCCTATGATGCTGGAGCCAGCACAAAAGAAGCAGAGCCAAGAAATAGGGTAAAACCAGGTCCTAAAAACATCATTGGTGGACTTGATCAGGCTATGCCCGAGGGCCATCTCCTTCAATTTTTTTAGTCATGAGTATCAAGAAATGCCTTTTCTGCTTAAATAACTTGGGTTGGATTTTCTGTCACTTATCCACTGACTGAAAAATTCTCAACTGATGTAAAATTCTTTGGGCTTTTTTTTCCCTCACAGAATTCCAGTACATCCAGAACTAAAAGGTTACTTTCTTCAAGTAATACTTCTCTGAATATTTTCCCCTAAATCAATGAATGAATAATATACTTCTGTCCACCAGGTTCCTTGAATGATAAACCTAGCACTCATCCAAGATGGCTTCCTCTCCCTCCCAGACTAGCAGACCTAATATACACCTGGCATCTGTTAACTTCTTTCCATTTTCTCCACTTCCTTTGTAGTCCGAGCCAGTGTGAAGTCTAGCCTGGAACACTGTAGCAACCAGGGCAGTCCTTCCTAACTACAAATCAGATCACCTCCTGAGCATCCTCGCTGGGCTTTGGTGCTCTGAGTTCTCCTGTTCCCCTCAGTTCCCTCACACAGCTCCCCACCCTGTGGCATTCTTAAAGTTCCTCTAGAGACTTTCTTGCCTCGGGGCTTCCTGCAAAAACTTCCCTGCCTATCCCCAGTTTCCAGTCTTCAGCAATGCTTTATTTGTTCTTCCTCAAAGTCAACTCAGAGAAGCCCTCCTCTACACCATAGTCTAAACTGGGATCCAACTCCCAGCCCCATTCTTCTCCCACAGTCCTGTGTTTCTTTCCATGGCACTTGTCCACATTTGCCATTAAATGTGTGTATCTATTAAGATCCGTCTTCCCTAATGAGCCTCAAGCTGCAGGCAGTGAGCTGTGAGCCCTGCTGCTCAATGATCCACTCTCACTCACCAGCCCCACATGGTGCCTGGCAGGTGGCAGGCTTCCAATAAAATGTGTATTAAGTAAATAAATGGTTGTCATGGCTTTGGTGTCTTGACTTTTTACTCCATTGATGTATGACGTTTAGGAGAGTGTGCCACTAAAACAAACCCGCCGAGCAGTTAGATACCTGCCATGGATTTGATTGAGTAATTACATATAACCCATCCAGGGTTTCTGGGTGTATTTAAAAAATTCGTCCCTTTGGATTTTGGATCACTACTATCTAAGAATCTCTCTTTGCAATGCAAGAATTTACAGCTTGTAGATGGCAGTGTAATGGAGGGAAGGAGGCCAGACTCAGTCTGAGGGAGGATAAAAACCACTTTTAAATCAAATTGTTCTTACCAGGGATCAGGTAATCTTCTAAGCACTTTATAGACACTAATTCATTTCATTCTCATAACTCATTTCAGATGGAAAAACTGAGTAACTTGCCCAACTCCAGCAAGAGAGCTGAAATTTGCACTCCGGCAGCCCAGTTCTGGAGTCTAAGAACTTACCTGCAGCAGTAAATTGTCTTTTGGGGATGTTCACAGAAGCCAAGTAAAGAGAGGGAAAAAATCTGGGTTAGGGAAATGAGTAACTAGACCACTGAGGTCCAACGGAAGCAGGAAGGGGCTGGGAGCCTGCATGGCTGCTTCACTCCGGCCCAGGAGAGCCTCCTGAACCAGCAAAGGGCCAGCCCTACCTTCCTGGCCAGCAGCCAGGTCACAGAGAAGCACCTGGAGAAATGAGCTGACTGCTAAGGAGCTGCCAGGTAATGGTGTCATTTATAGTGACAGGTCAGAGGCTGCCCACCTTCCAAGGCAGCTACAGAGATGGCTCTGAGGTGCCCGGAGCCAGAGAAATGGAGAGAACTAGGAAGTCTTTTGGATCATCCTCTCATGAAATCAAACCTCAGTTTTGAGATTAGGTGATCTGAGTGAATGTGAGCACTTCTGGTCCTCAGAGTGGCCTTCTCTCTCCTACCATGAGATGCTCTAACAGGTGTTTCGGCCAATTCCTCTTCCACTGCACCCACAGGCCACACCCCCCTCCTCTCAAGCCCCAATGGCCAGGGTTCCAATCACCCATCAGACTGGAAGAACTGCACAAAGTTTTGGGGGCAGCAGAGTAAACATCTGTAATGACCCTCCGCTCTTCACCCCAAACATCTGAGGTTCACTGAAGACCCTTAGCTTGGAGAGGAAGAAGGGCCTGGAGACGCTTCCTTTAAAATACTCCTGTGCTCCTTTTCCTCTTTATTAATTTAACAAGCACTTAGTGTGTACAAAATATCTCAGATATTAATCCTCATAGCAGCCCTGTGAGGTAGACACTATCATTAGCTCCATTTTATGGATGAGAAAACTGAGGTACAGCACTATTAGGTAACGCGCCCGAAGTCTCCTAGCTGGTAAGTGGTAGAGCCGGGATTCAAATCCAGGCAGTCTGGCTCAAGCAGCTGTGTTCTTATTAACCTCTCCATACTTATGTCAGTGCATTTTCACCTGGTTCCCTAGCATAATGACGTGGGGCAGGGGAGTGGGTGCCAGGACCAGGCGGCATCCCTGGACAGCATCTCTCCTAGCACCCCCGTCTCCCCAGCAGCTCTAGTTCTGTCACTGACAGTCGTCCACTTGGTCTCTGTTATCAAATCTCAGCTCTGTTGCTGGCTGGGTGGCCTTGGGCCCTTTAACCCCTCTGAGCCTCCACCCCATCTTCTACAAAATGGAAGTGTGTCAGTGCCCCCCAAGATCTCCCTGTTCCTCTCAGAGAACCCTCTCCCTGTGAAGGAAACTCACAGATACGGAAGTACTCCTCTCCATAGCTATCCCGCGTCTCCTGAGGCAGCTGCTCCCACAGCTTCTGCATGCGCAAGTCCATGCTGTCCTTGCCCAGAATGGATGTCCGATAGTTCCCAGGCTCGATGATGCTGACTTTAACTCCAAAGTAGTGGAGCTCACGCCTGGGAAAGAAGAGTTGGATTTAGTCTGAGACTCTAAGATGACAAAGGGTCACCAGGGGAGGGTCACTTCTGATACCTCTGTAGGTGCTGATCTCCTCAGGAGAAGAGGCATCCTCCCTACCCCTTGCACCAGGCCAGCCTTGGCTTTCATGCAAGTAAACCCTGTTGTAGGGCCTCAGCACTTTCCCAAGCCTGGCCTCTGGGCAATGGACATTAGACAAATTCAGAGAGAGGAAGTTAACAAAGAATCTAGACTAAAGCCTTACCTCCCATCAGGTACCTCCCACTCAGCCCCACAACCAGCACTCACATGGCAAAGGGGATGAGAGGTCAATATAAGGCCTGCGTCCTCCTCGGAGGGTCTCCCACAAGCACATCTATGCCCAGGCCTCTCTGTTTGGGAGACAGTCCCCCCTACTCCCACAGGGCCAAATAGGGGTTTACTTATTCTGGGGCAGCTCAAGGGAAACCAGGAAGATAGTCTCTCCTAGTACCACTTCACCTTTTTTCTAGTCCCTTTCTTCTCTTGGTCCTCAGGGAAAGCCCCCTGAGGACCAGCCTGCTTCCTACTACTGTTTCAGTTTCTTCTCTTCTGGACTCCCCGGCCTCACTGCTGTCATTCTTCCCACCTCCAGCCCTCTCTTCCTGAGGTGACACCCCAGGACTCCCACGCAGGGTGGCTTGGCACCAAGGCTCAGTCACCTGATGCTGTCAGAGAAGGCCTCGACACCAAACTTGGAGACACAGTAGCCACCACCAATGACAGCCACACGACCACCAGAGCTGGACATGTTGACGACCCGGCCCCGGGCTTTCTTGACCATGGGTAGCATGTGGAGGGTCACCTCGATCAGTCCCACCAGGTTCACATTGATCACCTTCACAAAGTCCTCTATTGTCAGCCATTCATTGGGACCACTGGGCAGGCCCACACCAGCGTTGTTCACCAGGGCCCAGAGACCTGCAGGGAGAGGGAGAGAGAGGACCACACGGAAATCACCAAGGCCTCTTACCCACTGCTCAGGGCTGTTGAGGATGGTTGAGCAGGTACACAAAGCATAAGACACCGGGCTGGGGCCTGGGCTGGGAGCTATTACAGCCTGAAGGAAGATGTGCCTTTTACTAATTAGTTTTCCCCAAAGGGGCCTGTTTTCTGATTCAGCTACCTGGGCCCTGTACCAGCTAACAGTCCAGGCTTTAGCTAATGACATCTAAGCTGTTAGCTCTGGGAGAAGAGAAAAGAGATATCATTTTCATACCAAGAAATAAATGTTTGAATTCTTTCTCTCATTATGCTCCCCCCTCTGTATTCCCTAAGTATAAGAGACCTGTTTTTTTTTTTATACACATTACCAAAGTTACTTCATTCATTCATCCATTCATGAACCCAGTGTTCTGTCAGTTTCAGAGGAAAGTGCTAGGGACATGAAGTGAACAAGACAGGGTTTTATCACTCAAGGAGTTCACAAACCAGAGAAGAAATAACATTTATAAATAAATATATGAAGCATTTAAATAATTATGGAAAGTGTGAAAAGGGCTGTCTGAAATCATTGAATTGAGTTGGTATAAATGGAGAGAAAAAAATGCTAAGTATTGCCATTCAGTTCTGCAGAGGCTTGAAGAGCTCAAGTTCTAGTGCTGGTTCCATACCCAGCCTTGGACAAACCCCTTTCTCTCTCTGGGCCTCAGATTCTATGTTGAATGGACTAGAACAATTGTTTCCAGCCTGTGGTTTGCAATTCTGAGCTTCCCAGGCTGTACCTCAAAACCTGCCCAGGGAGGGGAATGCAGGAGAAGCTCAACTTTCATTTGCTTTACAAGTTAAATTCTACCAGGAGGAGGGTGTTTGATGCTTTAAAAAGAAAAAAAAAGGCATGTTGGAAAAGCCTCTAAATGATCCCCAAGAAGGCCCTCCCAGTTTTTCCTTCAGGGATTCTGTGAGCCCCACTGCCCTGGCTCCTTTCCTTCCCCTCCCCCATAACCCCCACCTTGGCCTCTGCAGCCTCAGGTACTCCTCTGGACACACTAACCACTCTTTCCTGAGGGCAGGGCTGGAAGTAAACGCTATACATGGGCCACCCCTTCCCCTGGGGCTCTGGTCCACACAAAAGCCATGCCCTCACCCTATCTTCCTCTTTTCTCCAAGTACAGAGACCCCAGAAGACCAATTGACTGGCAGAACTCAGAACCTGCTCAGGCAGAGTAGACTCTCTTGTCTTACAGAGGAGAGAATAAAGCTTCTGAGACCCAAAGACTATGAAACCTGAATGATCTCTGCCTGTGGGTTAAAAACACACACTCACCACTACCTTTGATGGCCCTGGTAAACAACTTTGCCTGCTAGGGAATCAGGACAATCTTTTTTTTTTTTTTTTCCCCTGAGAAGAGCAACTAGAGAACAGTCAGAGCAGTGCAAAAGCTTAGAGTCAACCTGTCAAGTCCAAAGACTCTCAGGAACAATGAGAAAGTATGCCAGAACCCCCTCCCCCCATTTCCCAATGCTTGTTAGAGCAAGGATGTTGTTCAATGGAGTAGACAGAAAAATGGCCCCCTCAAAGATGAGTCCTTACTAATCCCTGGAACCTGTGAATATGGTGGGTTACATGGAAAAGAGGAATTAAGGTAGCAGATGAAATTCAAATTGCTGGACTTCCGCCAAGATAGAGGCATAGGTGGAGACGCCGTGCTTCTTCACACAACCAAGTTTAGAGACAACTAAATATTAGCAACAGAAAACATAGCCAGAACACAGAAAATTGAACTTTTCGGAAGTCTGATAACAACAAATTCTTCAGCCTGACGGGTACCAGGGGCGAAACCAGCAGCTGGTGGAGCGGGGTTGACAGGAAAACTCGGTCAGACGGACTCAGGTGCGTGGAATCCAGGCGCAGGGTTGGACCTGGTGGACAACTCAGCGAGCGACCACGGGAAACAGCGAGGGAGCAGGGCTGCGGGTTGACTGTGGTCGCGCATTCGTGCACAGATAGACAAGCAAGGGAGTGGGCGATTGGACAGGAGCCAGCAGGCCCCAGTGGCGAGCAGCAGCAGAGGACGCCGCCATTTCCCCGCTCTGACCCCGCCTCCACATACAGCGTCATAACCCAGTGACCTAAGTGGTCCTGCCCCAGTGAACCACCTAAGGCTCTGCTCCTCACCCAGCCGTACAAAACAGCAGAGGGGGCTGCCATTTCCCCGCTCTGACCACGCCCCCACATACAGCATCACAACCCAGCGACCTGGGAGTCCAAGGCTCTGCTCCTCGTACTTAACGGGCGCGAACAGAACAAAAATGGCTCAAGAAGATCTCAAAGCCCCGGAGCCTATAAATCTAAGCGATGAAGAAATAGAAAAACTCTCAGACACACAGTTCAAAACACTGGTGACCAGGATCCTCACAGAACTGGTTGATTATAGCCACAAATTAGAGAAACATATGAAGGTGAAACTAATTGAAATGAATGGAATTGCACAGGAAACCAATAGCGATGAAAAGGAAACTGGGACTGAAATCAATGGAGTGGACCAGAAGAAAGCAAATAATGGCCAAACAGAAAAGAGTGAAGAAGCAAGAATTCAAAGAAATGAGGAGAGTCTTAGGAACCTCCAGGACATCTTTAAATGCTCCAACATCTGAATTATAGGGGTACCAGAAGGGGGAAAGGAACAGCCACCAGTGGAAAACTTATTTGAACAAATAATAAAGGAGAATTTCCCCAATCTGGCAAAGGAAATAGACTTCCAAGAAATCCAGGAAGCTCAGAGTCCCAAAGAAGTTGGACCCAAGAAGAAACACACCAAGGCACATCATCATTACATTAGCCAAGATTAAAATGAAGGAGAGAATCCTAGAAGCAGCAAGAGCTAAGGGGACAGTCACCTGCAAAGGAGTTCCCATCAGACTGTCAGGGGATTTCTCAAAAGAGACCTTACAGGCAAGAAGGGGCTGGAAAGAAGTATTCCAAGTCATGAAATCCAAAGACCTACAACCAAGATTGCTCTATCCAGCAAAACTTTCATTTAGAATGGAAGGGCAGATAAAGTGCTTCTCAGATAAGATCAAATTCAAGGAGTTCATCCTCACCAAGCCCTTATTATATGAAATGCTAAAGGGACTTATCTAAGAAAAAGAAGTTAAAGAAACGTGAACAGTGAAAGGACAACAAACTCACAATTATTAACAACCACACCTAAAAGGAAAGCAAACTAAAAGGACAGCTAGATCAGGAGTGGAAAGATAGAAATGAAGATCTCAAGGAGGGTTAGCAACAGGGTAGTGGGAGGAGGAGAAAGGGGGAGAAGGTAGAGAAAATAAGTAGCATAGATGGTATATAGAAAATAGATGGGGGGGCAAGAATAGCATGGGAAATATAGAATCTAAAGGACTTGAGACACATGGTCATAAACTAAAGGGGGGGTAATGGTGGGGATGGGGGCGTAATGGTGGGGATGGGGGCGTAGGGTGGAGGGGAATGAAGGGGGGAATAGAACAACTGTAATGGCATAATCAATAAAAAATAAATTAAAAAAAAAAGAAATTCAAATTGTTAATTGACGGTCCTTAAAATGGGGAGATTATCCTGGATTAGCCAGGTGAGCCCAGTATAATCAGAAATGTCCTTCTAAGTGGAAGAGGGAGGCAGAGAGATGGCAGTGTGAAAATGGCTTGGCCTGACCTCACTGGCCTTGAAGATAGAAGAGGGTCATGAGCCGAAGACTGCAGGCACCCTCTAGAAGCTGGGAAAGGCAACGAAGAGGATTTTCCCCAAGAGCCTCTGCAAGGGAACCCAGCTCTGCTGACACCTTGATTTCAGCCCAGTGAGACCCACTTTGGACATTTGACCTCCAGAACTACAAGATAATAAATTTGTGTTGTTTTAAGCCACTAAGTTTGTATTAAATTATTACAGCAGCAATAAGAAACTTATATACCCAGTGAATCATTAACACTAGTGGCTCAGGGCTGAATCTAGGGCACTGGGCAAGCCAGCCTGCTGAAAAAAGAGACTGGTTCTTGCTGAATTATTCATCACTTAATTCACCCAACAAATATCTGGCACCTAGCTAGATGCCAGACACTGTTCTAAATACTAAGGATATGTAGTAAATAAAAGAGACAAAAAACCTTTCCCCCACCAAGCTTTATTTTAGCAGGGAAAATAGACAACAAGTGAGAAAAATGAATAAATAATATTAAATAGGGAATAGTGGTAAGTGCTAAGGGGAAAAATAAAGCAGGTAATTATTGCCTGGTCCCTCCAGGGCTCTCCTGTCCCCACCTGTGGGCACCGACCCTGGACTAGTTCCAGTGGGAGTTAGGACTTCCCCTAGGCTGCCACTTCTACAACAAAGCCGCCCTGTTCTTCCCGTTCCTGTGTCCATGCCCTTCATGCAGGAACCTTCCCCGGGCAGGTCCTTATGCAGTCCTGGTCCATCCCTAGCCTGCAGCCTCCTTTCCCAATAGGAACATCCATTCTGATGTCAGCACTTACTCTGAGTTCAACCTAATATCCATCGGGATGCGAGGAAAAGACAGATATCTCTGTCCTCAGCCTCCTAGCCTGGTGCAGTCAAGGAGAGCAAATGCCTCCACTCAGGGAGTTCAACCTCACGCTCCTGTCTTGCCTTCACCCAGCTTGGTCCTGACAAGAGCTGTTGGCCAGAACCACCAAAGTCCCAGAGAAGCAACTACATCCTTAGAGCTTTGGACATGTAGAACACAGCTTCTCTCCCCTACCTCCTATGGTGACCTCCCTCCTTCCCTCTGAGTATCTGGGAGAGAAAACTTCCTTGGGAAATCAGCCCTTCCTGTGGACAGACAAAACCATGCAATGGCTTCCCATCCCACTGGGCCAGAGCCTCAGCCCCTGTCTCCACATCACTTCTCCCACCCCATCTGAACAACAGGGCCCTTGATAACTGTCCGATGCCTGTAGGAGAAAGACCGAAAAAGAAGGATAAGCTGAGAGAGCTTAAGAACGCAATTCACCCCACCTTGCTCGCCCACTTGGTCCCTCACCCACTGGGCTGCCATCTGGATGCTCTCACTCTTGGTGACATCCAATAGGGTGGTCTGCAGCCGGTAGGAGGTATCTTGCTGTAGCTTCTGGGCGCCCTCCTGGGTTAAACAAGCAGCCAGCACCCGCATGCCTCGATCAACCAGCTGCTTGGCCAGTAGGTTCCCAAAGCCCGAGTCACAGCCTGTGATGAAGACATACTTGTCTGAGAGGTTCCGGACAAGATTGCAGTTCTTGAACCAGCGGTACATAAAAGAGAGGTCTGTGAGAGCCGCCATAGGGCAGGAAAGGGGTGATGGCCAAGAAGGATGGGGCTCAGGAAACAGCGGGAGAGGCTGGTCCTCTGACCCCCAGCTGTCAGCGTGCTGGAGGCTGCTGAGAAGAGCTCGCCTCCCTTCCACTGCTGGCAACACACACAGGGCCCTGAGTGAGACACTCTATAATTTTTATAGGTGGATGGATGCATCACACAGCAATTAGCCCAGATGCAAGAAATTCAAGTCTAACCTGAAGCCTCGTCACCTCGGACAGCCCTGGTAGCTGCCCTTCTCTCTCCCCAGCCCTGATGGGTGAAGGTGCCAGGGTTGGGACAGACCCCAGTGGTGATGTTGGTGCTGAGAGGTGGCTCACCTGGGTGTTCTGGGCAGGGTAAATGAGAAAGAATCCAGCTTAGAAAGCCCCCTTGGGAATCCCCCATCCCTGGTCCAGGGATTGAAATCATTTGTCAAGAGTGCAGGCATGTAAATAAAATAAATTTTTATTTTTAGAGAAAAAAATTAAGATAAATTCAGTAATGTAAAACAAAATTGGCTTTGTGCATTTCAAACCCCAAGAGAAATGAGTTCCAGGTTATTAGCTCTCTGGAATTCTCTGCCCTTCGGTGAGTGTCCATTATGGGAGGTGATGAAAAAGAGTTTCTCTCTGGGAAGCTATGTCTTCATTGTCCTGAGGCCAGAGGCAGCAGGGCCCTCCTATGCAGGAGGCTGGTGAAGGAAGGCCCCTACTCACGCAAAGCAGAAAGACCGAGGGCCTCAGGGCCTGGGTCCATGGGAGACAATACTCAGATCACCAATGAGGAGTCTTCATTGCACTCTAGGCAGGCCTGGCAACTGGCCTCCCCCAGTGACCAGGCAAATGGAGGAAGTCAAAGACTGAGGACACATCAGTAACCCTGGGGCAGGGCCCCTATTGGGCATTTTCTGGGCATTGTTTTCTACCCCTGGGATCAGAGACAGATGAGGTGATCTGGTGATCTGGGGAGCCTGGTGGTAGGAGCAGTGATGGCGGGAAGAAGGGATTATGAAGTCAGCTGGCACAGTGGTTAGATGGATGTGCGGAGAGGAGGGGGGCCAGGAGGCAAAGTGATTCTAAGGTATGGGGCTGATAACAGGTAGAACCACAGGTGACAAGAGTGATAGGAGGGGGATACTTAGAGCACAGGGAGAAAAGGCAGGAGAAGAGAGAGTTCTGATATGAATATCAATGAGATGAGGTCATGAGGATGGGTCATGAGCTCCCTGGGCAGCTGCCGAAAGGGCCCAGGGCTGAGTCCTTGACTCCGAGAGGAAAAGACATGAGAAGATCAGAAGACGGGCCAGGTAGCTTCTTGGAAAGTTCTCGGGGTTGGGACTTGGAAGGGAGGGAGAGATTCCAAGCCATGGGGATCACAAGAACTCACAGAAAGGTAGGAGGGAAGCTGGTCAACATAAGGAAATAAGGATGTGAGACAGAGGTGTGAGTCATGAGGGACCACACCTAGGTTTGTATAAGATGCAAGCACAGGGTGATGCTAGAGTCTACAGTGGTTCTTTGGATAAACCTCTAGGGTCACCACTCCTCAGGATAAGCCTGGTGACCAGCTCCTTCTGTAGCTGACACAAAGTTCCCCAGAATGAAGGGATGAAGATGCTTCTCTGTGCTCCACTGTCTACCAAGGTTGGTCAGTTCCAGAACCAGTCAAAGCAGGTGTCTCCTTGGAAAAAGACAGAGAGCTTGGCTACTCTATCCCAAGGGTGGTGGGAGGTCAGATTGTATACCCACCTTTGAGAAACAAACACAAAGCCTATATGGGAAGTGATAGAAGCAAACCTCACCTACTTCATAACCACTCCAAGGCACAACACCTCTTACACTGGATCCAGGAGGCATTTCCCAACTCTGCCTCCTGGGTGAGTGGATAGGGAAGTCTTGGTTGGGAGATGTCAGATAATTTCACTTGAGGGCTGAGCAGGCCCAGGAGTAGCTCAGTTCTTGAGAAGACAAATGAGACCTAGGGGATGCCTCTGGATCTTGAAAAGGATGACTTTGGACTGCCCCAGCACAGGCCTGGGCCTGGCTCATCATCTTATGGGCCTCTCTGTTGACTACCGGCTAAAGCAGTGCTCTCCTGGGCTCAAACTTCTAACATCACAAAATAGTCCATGGACTGGAGGCTTAGAGTGCTGTGGGACCACATAGAAGGCTCTTTTCCTGGGGCTGGGAATGCCACCCACTCTCAGATGACAGGCCTCCTTGCTGAGTTGGCACCTGAAGCTGGTCAGCCTGGTGGTTGTCCTCCACACCTCTACCTCTATCCATGGGTATCTTCAGTGGAGAAGGGCCTTCATCTCCTCTAGGCAATTTCCATCTTGTGGGAGGGGGAGATTGGCCAGGGCCAAGGCACACTCTGAGGAGATAAACAGAAGCAGGGGAGATGGGGCTAAGCCCCCTCCCAGTGTCCACTCTTTCTCAAAAGTGTGGTTTTGGGTCTGTGAAGCTCAGAGCCTTGAGAAGCTGCTCAGGCAATGGGGCACACATTGTGTGCTACTGGGTCCCTGTTCCTCTACCTCAAAGTGGGGTTCTTCCTTCTAATAGCCTCAGAGTCCTGGGAGAACCTGGAGCAGAGGTAAGGAGGAGAGTAAGCAACATGAATCTAGAGACTGGAGAGCTCACTCCCTCCATCTTATTTTCCTCCCCATAAAGCATCAACCTTCACATAGCATCCCAACTAGACCCTCCATGCACCCCAGTCTTGGCTTTACAGGGCCTTGGAAGGCCTTGGGGAACTCCAGTTGACCACAGCACCCACCAGGAAGGTGGAACATAGTTCATGGGGAGGTAGGTGAGCTTGGACTCTCAGCCAGGTAAGTCCTGGGTGCATTCCATGCAGTTCATCACCATGGATAAATTCAACTTGCATGTTTTCAAAAGATTTTTATTTATTTTGATTGATTTCACTTCTCTGTTCAAAATGAGAAAGTATCCTTACATACTTCCCCATCCCTCTTTTCCATTTCATGGCTCTAATTTAGAAAGAAAGTTTCAAAGAACTCTCCTCTCTCTGGCTTTGGTTTCCTCTTCAACATGATCAGGTCAGAGTAGTCCCCCCATCTAACAACCTAAACTCTTTCTTTAGGTTACTAGTTGACCACATGGAATCATGGGTATGAAGCTAAATGTCCCTACTGTGTAGACAAGTCAGCCAGAAGGATGAACCTGTGACTGTAAGAGGCTCTAATGAGGAACTACACTTCCAGAAAATGGTTTGCTTCTTTCCCCATGGTCCACAGCTCACTCACTGAACTAGAAACTTCTCCCCATAGATCTCCTTGACCTCTGGGCTGGCCCAATCCTATGCCTCCTTGAAGCCCTAAGAAAACATCTCAGGACTGCTCCTTTGGGTGTCGAAGCAATGGGGCTTGATGACAGCTGCCTTTACCCCAAGGTGGGAGAGGTCCCTCCCATAGGGCACAAGGCAGGGAGGCAGGGATGTCTTGGGAGACAAACAAGAATAGTATAGTCCCAAAGGAGACTGAGGTAAAGTAAGTTTGAAAGCTTGGGAAGTTGTGAAGTGCAGCAGCCAGGGGGAGAAAAATCTGAAGATGAAATAGTCTCTGTGGAGTTAAAGTAGTTATCTATATATTTTACATGTACAAACCTATTAGCTCTAAACCCTACCTATTCTGCTGCAAAGCACCAAGTAAATGCTATTTTATTTCCTTCTAGTCCCCCTTACATTCCATCAGTCTCCAGTTTTCCCTTTTTACCTCCTCCGTACTCCTCAGGCACCTCCCTCCCCTCTACTGCTCTAGTCAACTCCCTGACAGTCTGTCCTCTAAGGAGCATCTCTCTGCCTGTGTCTCAGCTTCTTCCCATTCAGAGCCATCCCCTACCCTCCAGCCAGGGGGTTCTCTAGAGGCTGATTTGATAAATAGCTCCCCTGATTTAATCTCTTCCATGATGTTGTGCTGCCTTCAACAGCACAAAAGTTCGCAGCCTGTCCTGGGCCTACCTCCCTTCATGAGCCCGCCATGTCTGCCTTCCCAGGACCCTTCCTGCCAGGACAGACCAAGTTGTTTATCACTGGGGGACCCCACAGCATAGGCAATCAATCATTCCTCACCCTTACTTCCCACACCCAGGAAGCCTTCCCATCCTACTTTGCTAGGTTGCCAGGTTGCCAAGTTCAGTTCTTCTTTTTTAAATTTATTTTTAATATATTTCATTGATTATGCTATTACAGTTGTCATGTTTTTTTCTCCTTTTATTCCCCTCCACCCTGCACCCCCTCTTCTCACTAGCATTCCCCCCACCCCACTTAGTTCATTTCCATGGGTTGTACATATAAGTTCTTTGGCTTCTCCATTTCCCATACTATTCAAACCTCCCCCTGTCTATTTTGTACCTACCAGTTTATGCTTCTTATTCCCTGTACCTTTTCCCCCCCTCCCCTGTCCCCACTGATAACCATCCATGTGATCTATATTTCTGTGACTCTGTTCCTGTTCTAGTTGTTTGCTTGGTTTGTTTTAGGTTCAGTTGATAGTTGTGAGTTTGTTGTTTTACAGTTTGTATTTTTTATCTTCTTCTTTTTCTTAGATAAGTCATTTTAACCTTTCTTTTAATAAGGGCTTGGTGATGATGAACTCCTTGAACTTAATCTTATCTGGGAAGCAATTTAACTGCCCTTATTTTAGGCAGAGGGGTAGGAAGGGAGGAAGAGAAAGAGAGAAACATCAATGTGTGGTTGCTTCTCATGTGCCCCCTACTGGGGACCTGACCTGGTTCACAACCCAGGCATGTGCCTTGACTGGGAATCAAACAGGCAACCCTTTGGTTCAAAGGCTGGTGCTCAATCCACTGAGCCACAACAGCCAGGGCTCATGACTTTGAATACTTCTTTCCAGCTCCTTCTTGCCTGCAAGATTTCCAATGAGGTCAGCTGACAATCAAATGGGAACTTCTTTGTAGGTAAGTGTCTCGTTTTCTCTTGCTGCTTTTAGGATTCCTTATCTTTCATCTCGACTAATGTAATTATAATGTGCCTTGGTCTGTGCTTCCTTGGGTCCAATTTGTTTGGGACTCTCTGAGCTTCTTGGACTTCCTGGAAGTTTATATCCTTTGTCAGATTAGGGAAGTTCTACATTAGTTTTTCAAATAAGTTTTCAATTTCTTGGTCATCTGCTTCCTCTGGCCCTGCTATGATTTGGATGTTGTAATGTTTAAAGTTGTCCCAGAGGTTCCTAAGCCTCTTCTCATTTTTTTAACTCGTTTCTTCATTCCATTCCAGTTGAATGTTTATATCTTCCTTCTGCTCTGAATCATTTATTTGAATCCTGGTTTCCTTCCCATCACTGTTGGTTACCTGTACATTTTCCTTTATTTCACTTTTCATAGACTTTATTTCTTTCTGTATTTTGTGACAGTATTCAATCATGTCTGTGAGCATCCTGATTACCAGTGTTCTGAACCCTCCATCTGATAAAATGGCTATCTCTTTATTGATTAGTTCTATTCTTGGAGCTTTGATCTGATCTCTTATTTGGGCCATATTTTTTTGTCTTGGTGCACCAGTCTGGATGAATGTTTCTTCAACTCCTTGGTTGTCGAACTTCCATACAGTTTGATTTTCTGGCAGTTCTGGTTATTTTTTATTTTTAAATTTGTTGTTGTCCTTCTTTTGGTTCTGTGAGGAGGCACAGTGTGTCTATCTACAGCCCCATCTTGGTCAGAAGCACAAGTTCAGTTCTTCAGTCCTCAGCTCAGACCTCTCTCCAAATCCTCCCCTCATTCCACTGGCTACCTCAGCCACCATGGCTAACATGGCCAGCCACTACAGCACAAGAAATGGCCATACCATTTCTATATCTCTTGTTCCTTTCACAGCAGTAAAGAGTTTGTGTTTCAAGTAACAAACCTTGTTATCCTCAGACATTAATTGTGTACTCACAGAAGTACCCAGAAATACATGTAGAATTGAGTCAAATACCCTGCCCTGAGCTCGGGGGCTTCCAGAAACTAAATGACATAGGGTTAAGGAGCTGGGCTCAATAGCCAAGTTATCTGGATTCCAATTCTGCCTCAGCCACTTTACTACTGTGGGCCTTCCTCCAGGGCATGAAGGGATTAAATCAAATTTTATAGACCTGAGACCCATTTTGACTCCCAAAAGCTAAAAAGGTGCTTCCTAATGAATGCCTGGCACAAAGCAAGAGAGGAATCTGAAAGGAAGAACCTCTGATGCTGTGTGAAGTGAACTTACTGGAAAAGTCCCCACCAGAAGCACAGAAGCAGGAGGACCGAGTTGGGGGGGCCTCTGTCCCAGCCCAGTACCTGAGGGAGTCCGAGAAGGCCTCAGCACTGTACTTGGAGATGCAATAGCCCCCGCCATACAAGGACACATGACCCAAGATGCTGGAGACGTTGACCACATGGCCTCTTGCCTTCCTCACCAGGGGCAGCAGACTCGGGGTCACTCCCAACAGGTTCACACTGAGTATCTTAATGAAGTCCTGTTTTATGAGCCTATCATAGGGTGTGTGGGCATGGAGATACCAGTGTTATTCACCAGGCCCCAGAGTCCTGGGCACAGTGCGGGTAAGAGAGCAACATTGTGCTGTGACCCTATAGTGAGAACAGGTATGTGGTTCCAACTTACATTATGATTAAGTTTATTTTATTGAGTGAACAACAGCATCATACATGGGATACAGAAAAGCGTGCAGGAAAAGAAATAGGAATTCTGTGGCTGCAGGGTGTCAGGGCTTGCAAACACGTTTAGTCACTGGATGGCAGGGATGATCATTTTTCTGCTCCTCAGTGCCTGGCATGCAATAGGAAATAAACCCATCTTTGTTAAGTGAATGGACAGAGTTTGAGATAATAGAGTAGTATTCAACAATATCTTTTTTTTTAAGATTTGGTTTATTTTTTAGGATTTTTTAAAATCTGTTTTATTGATTATGCTGTTATAGTTGTTCCATTCCCCCCCCTTTATTCCCCTCCACACTGTGCACCCCCTCCCACCTGCATTCCCCTCCCTTTAGGTCATATATATAAGTTCTTTGGCTTCTACATTTCCTATACTATTCTTAACCACCCCCTGTCTATCGTCTATCTACCATTAATGCTACTTTTCCCCCTCTCTCCCCCTCCCACTCTCCCTCTGATAACCCTCCATGTGATCTTCATTTCTGTGATTCTGTTCCTGTCCATTTTGGATGTTTGCTTAGTTTGCTTTTGCTTTAGTTTTAGGTTTGGTTGTTAATAAATGTGAGTTCGTTGTCATTTTATTATTCATATTTTTTATCTTCTTTTTCTTAGATAAGTCCCTTTAACATTTCATATAATAAGGGCTTGGTGATGAAGTACTTTAACTTGACCTTATCTGAGAAGTAGTTTATCTGCCCTTCCATTCTAAATTTGCTGGATAGAGCAATCTTGGATGTAGGTCTTGCCTTTTGTGACTTTCAATATTTCTTTCCAGCCCCTTCTTACTTGCAAGGTTTCTTTTGAGAAATCAGCTGACAGTCTGATGGGAATTTCTTTGTAGGTAACTGTCTTCTTTTCTATTGCTGCTTTAAAGATTCTCTCCTTACCTTTAATCTTGGGTAATATAATTATGATGTGCCTTGATGTGTTCTTCTTTGGGTCCAACTTCTTGGGGACTCTCTGAGCTTCCTGGACTTCCTGAAAGTCTATTTCCTTTGCTAGATTGGGGAAGTTCTCCTACATTATTTGTTCAAATAAGTTTTCAATTTCTTGGTCTTCCTCTTCTCCTTCTGGCACCCCTATGATTCAGATGTTGGGACATTTAGAGATGTCCCAGAGGTTCCTAAGCCTCTCCTTCTTTTTTTTTTTTTGAATTCTTATTTCTTCATTTTGTTCTGGTTGAATGTTTCTTTCTTTCTTCTGGTCCAAACCACTGATTTGAGTCCCTGTTTCCTTCTCTTCACTCTTGGTGCCCTGTACATTTTCCTTTATTTCACTTAGCATAGCCTTCATTTTTTAATCTAATTTGCAACCATATTTAACCAATTCTGTGAGCATCCTGATTATCAGTGTTTTGAACTGTGCATCTGATAGGCTGGCCTCTCTCTTTGTCACTTAGTTATATTTTTTCTGGGGCTTTGATCTGTTCTTTCATTTGGACCATTTTATTTGTCTGGGCACACCTGTTAGGAAGTAAGGGGCAGGGCCTTAGTACTCACTAGGGTGGGGCAACCTACATTGCTGTGTTGTGATGCTGTTTGTGGGGGACGGGTCTGAGAGTGAACAATGCTACTTGCTCTGCTCTCTGCTGGTTTTCAGTCATTTCCCTCAATACCCATAAGCAAATTGGACCCTTCTAGTGCTGATTCCCAGTGGGTGAGCTTGTGTGCATTTTAGGACCCTGTGGGTCTCTCCAAGAAACTGTCTTGTGTGGCTGAGAGTTTCTCCTGCTGCCATCTCAACCCCCACAGGTGTTTTCAATCAGTGGTTTGAGGCTTTATTTCCCTGCACTGGGACCCTGCATTGTGCGGTCTCACTCTCCAGTTGTTCCTCTCCATTTATCTGCACACAAATGTGGGATCACCCAGTCCACAATCTGCTGCCTTGCTGGGCCTGCCAGCCACCACCTTGCCCCTAGCCCTCTCCACCTGGCTGCCTGTCTCCGCCCCTCCTACTGGTCTGGATGTTTCTTCTTTATCTCCTTAGTTGTTGAACTTCCATAGAGTTCAATTTTCTGTCAGTTCTGGTTGTTTTTTGTTTTTAAATTGTTTGTTGTCCCTCTTTTGGTTGTGTGAGGAGGCACAGTGTGTCTACCTACACCTCCATCTTGGCTGGAAGTCCTATTCAACAATATTGTATAGGAGAGAGACATAGATAGGCAGAAAGAAATGAGTAAGACACAGAAATAAAGGGAAAACTAGAGAAGAGAAAGGAAACAGGAAAACAAGAAATGAGGGAAAGAAAGCCGTGAATAATTACTTGCCACACCCTGGTTGGAGAGATACACTTGACATCCCAGGATAGGGTGAGTAGAGACAAGCCTGCACTGAACACCAAGAGACCAGCTTTGAAACAACCTGCATTAATTCCAAGGCACTATCTGCTCAGGAAGCCAAGTTCATCTTCTCTGTTGGGAAATTCCAAATTTCACCCTGGAGTGAATGGTGCAGGCTTTGGGGAAAGATGCGGAGACCAGGTGCCACACCTTAGTGTAGACTGAACCCTTGGCTCCAGGAAGTGTCAATGGCCCCTTTCACCCTCCCAAAGGCCATCCTTGCCACATCCCACTAGGTTCCCAGTCCACTCAGCTTTCAGAAGACCTCTCTGGAAGAGACAGAGGGAAAAGACACAACAAGGTCAGCAGGTACAGGGTGATCGGTGAGTTGGGGATGGTGAGGGAGGTGGGGGCAGGCAGAGTTTGACCTTGGGGATACTGGAAAGAGAACAAGGCCCTGCAATATTAGTCCCTGCTCTGCTCAGAAAACTTCCCTGGCCTTAAGGAAATGCATATTCTTTGAGTTAATTATTTAATTTTACTTAAGTAACATTACTGAGAATGTGAGCAAAATGTACCATACTTCTCTCCACAGATGCATCCCTTCCCTCACATAGTACCCAACTCTTCCTTACTATGCACCACAGTTATGAATCACAGAGCCTTAATGGGCCTTGGTCTGTTCCAGTAGACGATGGCATCCGCCAGGAAAGTGGGCATGTAGCTCATGGGAAGGTAGACGAGCTTGCAGTCCCAGCCACATGAGTATCGGGTGCGGGGATGGCAGGCGATCAGGGCATGTTCCATGCAGTCCGTCACCAAGGACAGGTCCTTCGTGCACATTTTTTCCAACAATTCCATTGATTTCACACCTGTCCAGAATGAGAAAGAATCCAGATATATTCCCACCTCCAACACTCCCACATTAAAATCAACTTATAGAATGAGTTTCTAGAATTCCTGGCCATCTACACAGTGAATCCACCCAAATTCCTCAGAGAGTGTCTCACTCCTACCTCAGGCACAACTATTTTACACAAGTATCTTTTCTCTCTGGCTTTAGTTTCCTCCTCAACACAATGAGAAGTTCACATAAGACACTAGTGCCTGCTCTGATAAGCCTGGATCCCTTCCTTGGGTTACCAGTTGGACCATGTGGAACTATGGAGATGGAACCAAAGGTCCCCTGTTTGTGGGTGAGTCAGAGCACTAAGGTTGAACCTGAGACTGTAGGTGGTACTGACTGTAAACCAGGTTTCCAGAAAGTGGTTTGCTTCTGTCCCCATGACCCACACAGCTCACTCACAGGCCCCCAGGAACTTCTCTCCATAGATCTCCTTCACCTCTGGGCTGGCCCGATCCCATGCCTCCTGGAAGCCCCTAGAAATCATCTCAGGATTTGACAAAGCAGTCTTGAAGTAACCGGGCTCGATGATTGCCACTTTCACTGCAAAGTGGGAGAGTTCCCTCCTGCAAGGCACACAAGCAGAGGGGCAAGGACTTCAGAAGTCTTTTACACACACACACACACACACATGCACAATACCAGGAAAAAACCAACAAATAAAACATCAATATAGGGTTGCAGTAGACTAAGCTCAAAACTCAGGGAAGCTGTGAAGTGTAGCACAGGAGGGGGAAGTGTATGATGATGGTAGTGCCTCTCAGCAGAGTTTGAGTATTTTTCCAAGTTTTATATACATTTGCTTCTAACTCTAAATCCTACCAATTCTGCTGAAAGGTGCCACTTAAATTCTATGTCCTTGTATATCTGTCACATGCAATTAAAACCTGGGCTGTACCCGTTTTATCCTTCCTGTACTCCTAAATTCCCTCCCTCTTCTTCCCAACCCAGGTCAACCTCCAGGCCACCTGGCCTCCAGGAGCATCTGCCTGCCTGTGGGCTCAGCTCCTCCACATCACAGCCATCCTCAGCCCTGCAGCCAGTGCAGTCTCTCCTGCTGATGTGATGGAGAAGCTCCCTCAATAAAGTGCTTCCCTGCTAATAGGCCTCCCAGCACCCAAGTATCACAGCAATTATATACATGAATGGGCCACACAGCTGAATAGTATTGGTTCTAATTCTGCCCCAGATGCTTTCTGACTATGAACAGGGACAGCCTGAATCAAACTTTAATGTCCTGGAGCCCATCCCAACCCCCAGAAGATAAATAGGTGCTTCCCAACAAATGCCTGGCACAAAGCAAGAGAAAAGGAGCTAGAAGGAAGAGACTCTGAGGCTATGTGAAATCAACAACCCCTTGGAAAAGGCTCCCCTGAAGCACAGAAGCAAGAGGACCAAGGGGGGCCTCTGTCCCAGCCCAGTACCTGAGGGAGTCCGAGAAGGCCTCAACACCATACTTGGAGATGCAGTAGCCCCCACCATACATGGACACACGACCCATGATGCTGGAGACGTTGACCACACGGCCTCTTGCCTTCCTCACCAGGGGAAGCAGGCTCAGGGTCACCTCGATCATCCCCAACAGGTTCACATCGAGAATTTTTATGAAGTCCTGTTTGGTCAGCCACTCGTTGGGTGCCGTGGGCGTGGAGATGCCAGCATTATTCACCAGGCCCCAGAGTCCTGGGCACACAGAGGAGAGAAAGCAACTGCTGAGGACATGCAGTGAGGACACAGCTGTGGTCCAGTTCACCTGCTAACCCAGTGGGGACCCTGTAAGGAGGTGGCATGGGGAGAGGGTAGAATAGATAACTAAGTGCCGCCAGCAGGGCTGGAGGCAGTGCTGATCCTGTAAGCTGTTGGCAACAGAGATATGCCTTCCTTCTGATTTAGTCCTCCTGTCCAGCCTCGTAGAGGAAATTGGTGAAGCAGGACTGGTGTGGATGAAATCTAGCGAGTCCATAGTGTGGGTCGCAGGGTCATGCTTGGGTTTCACACATCGGTGCTGTCCTTGCAGACAGTATAATTATTCACCCACATTTTCAGGTTTCTGGACTGTTTCCTTAGTGAGTGTTCAGTGACTATCAATGAGGGAAAGAGAGAGATACAGACAGAGAATGAAGAGTGGAGTGGAAGAGAAAGAAAACCACATTATATAAAAGACAACAGTAGAAAATATGGGTAATATCTGGGGACAATTTGATTGGGTAAAACAGATCAGAAACCTCAGGGGTGGAGAACCGTGGAGAGCAGGTCTGTGACTGACCTCGGGCTGTTGGTCTGGACACACCCTGCATGGACACAGAGCTACGGAGGGCGGGCTCTCAGGCAGACCCAGGCTGCCCTTCCTACCTGCAGGCACAGACCTCATTCCGAGACCCGGTCAACTCTGACGGTCAACTCCACCTTCCCCTCTCATCTGTGCAGGAGACCCTGGCCCCCCAGACATCTGGCCCACAGTGCCCCCTGCTTCATGGAAATCTCTCTGCAAGATCCAAAGGCACAGTCCCAGAGATGTCAAGATTTACCGGCGACAGGCGGCAGGGCAGCAGGAGCAGAGATCAGGGGGACACGGGACAACGGCTGGTGGTGGGGACTCTGGAAGTACTGGCTCAGAGTGGAGTCCCTGGCCTTCTCACATAGGCCCTGCCCTTGTAGGAATCATATTCTCCCAGCATATATTTTCCTTCAAAGAACCCAATTAATGTACATGGTTACAGATAGAGATTTGAGTAAAAATAAGTTTCCCAAGATATTTTTATGCTGAATATGAAGAATAAAATGTAGAAAATAATTTCATATTAGACCATAAAATACTGCTTTAGTAAATCATGTTATTCAGAAGGATAGAAATGTCTCAATCATTAAAAATTAAGTTTTTATAGAAATTTTCACCATGCTATAAAATTGTTCATCTTCTTTTAATGCAAAGGATTTGTCAACTATGTGCAAAATATAACACCATGTACCCTATTTTTTGGACTATAAGACACATGCCCCCACAATTTGGGAGAAAAATACAGCACCGACCCTGCTGCTGCCTCCTGTGACCCCACTCCACTGCCGCTGCCCCCCCAGCGAGCCAGATAAGCTACATTTGGACTATAAGACATACCCTGCTTTCCCTCCCAAACTTGTGTCTTATAGTCCAAACAATACGGTATATCAGAATGTTAATGGCACTCATCTTTAGGTAGTGAGATTTAGGGTGAGGTTTTTTTAATCCCTGCCCTTTTCTGTATTTTCCACATTGATCATGTTGTACATTCATACTTAGATAAGGAAAATGATGTTCTTTTCTTCCCCATAATTGGACAGGCATAGCTGTAGTTTAGGAATGAGAGAGAGAGGAGTGAGTGACCCCGCACTGATTTCCTGACCTTTCTTAGGTGAGTCCTGAGAGTTCAGTGTCATCATCTGAAAATGGGTGACATCGACTCCCTGGTTGGATGATTATAAGTCACCAGCATGAAGACACTGATGTGCCGAGAACAGGGGCCCGGCTCCCATGCTGTCCCCTAGCCACCCATTCAAGCCTCAGGCTAGTGCCTTCTCCTCCACCCCTCCTCCAGAAAGTGGAACTCGGTTTCTCCACGGCACTCAGTATCTAGAAATCCAGAACCTTTGCTGAGAGAAAAGGGGACACCAGAGACAGGATTCTGCCAGGACAAATTCTCATCAGCCCAAACTCTCCCCAAAACTGCAGAGCTCCAAGGTTGGGAGGTGTGGGGGGCCATGGAAAGAGAAAAGACTTGGCTGATAAGCTGGGTGAGGTGAAGAAAGCTGGTATGACTTCAAGTCCCAGAAAAGACCTTGGGAATCTTTCCCAAGTAGCAGACAAGGGGTCTTCCCTTCACTGAGAGAAAAGACTCAGAGTTGAGAAATCTGTGAAGTACCTCTGTCCCCTACATGCTCCTTTACCCACTGGGTGGCTGCAGCAATGCTCTCTGTCTTGGTGATGTCCAGGATCACTGTCGCCAGCCTGTCTGACGCCTGGCTCCTCAGCTGCTCAGCCCCCTTCTTTGTCAGACATGCGGCCAGTACCTTCAAGCCTCGCAGGTCCAGCTGCCTGGCCAGTAGGTTCCCGAAGCCTGAGTCACAGCCCGTGATGAAGACATACTTGTCTTGGAGGTGGCTCACCACCTGTCTTTCCCGGTACCAGCGAAGAAGGTAGTACAAGCCCACGAGAGCCGCCAGGTACAGCCACATGGCTTTGCAGGGGATAGGCAGGCAGGCAAAAGTGAAACACGAAGGTAGCCCGTGTGCAGTCAGGAGGACCTAAGGACACACAGGATATGAGTTAGCACACCAAGCTCCAGGCTTCTGGCATGGAATCCTCAGATCGTTCCTGTTTACCAAGTCTGGTATTGATTCTAGCCCCAACTCATGTGATCTCTGGCACACTTACACCATTACTGACAGCTCGTCGCATTCAGACTACCCCTTGATCTACATGTACTTTCCTCAACCACCTTCTCCTGGTCCTCCCACTCCACCAACCCTATCATACTCTCTCTCTCTCACACACACACATACACACACTCTCTGGAGCCCCCTATGATCCTGGCCTCATGGTACAGAACTGTCTTCCTGTCTTTTGCCTGCTCCAGTCTGGAACCCTTGTCCTCTGACCTACTGTAGATTCTACAAAGAGGACACACTATGAATCAAGACACACTTGGGTTCGAAACCCAGGTCTGCTCCAACTGCTGTGTCACCTTGGCCACTGGCATAGCCTCTGAGCCTTGGGTCCCCTCATATGGCTCAGCACATAATTCACTAATAAGCTTCATCAGTTTCCAGAATTAGGAGGAGAAGGAAAAGAGTATAAAGACCCCTCCCTTTTTTTGTATTCCATATAATTTTATTTTCTCCCTTCAACCATAATGATATGATATCCAAATTTTGTCTTAACTGGAGGGTCCATTAAAACAGGCTTGTCTAGGCCACTTACAGGCAAAGCAAATGCTGCTTTGTGAAATGGTCCCACCATGGACACTCTGGTCATCCCACCCAGGTCGTCCCCTTGCCTGGCTTTATCCTCACTACATTGTGTGGCCACTTCACTGAATTTCATTCCAGACTTTAACTTTTCCAAGGCTTCCACGATTTTTCCGTGTTTCTTGCACAGAATGTGCCTGACCTTTGCTGCATTGCCACCATCTTTGGGACCCTGAGACTTCTCGTCAGAACTGTCACTCCCAGACACTGCCCCTTTGCCCCCTTTTCCAGAACCGCTTTTTCCTTTAGGTGGCATCTGTGAAACTTGAAATTCAAGACCCTTACTGACACAGTAACTGTCAGTAGCAGAAAGGTGTTCAGGAGAAAATGACGGTGTCTGAGCTCAAAGGTAAGGAAGGGAGAAGGGAATGGGGTGGGCTCACTCAGTGGAGCTTCTACCAGAGCCTGGGAGGGCTGAAAGAAAGGAGTTTAAAAAAGTGACCCTAATAGTCGTCACCTTCTCACTTCATGAAGATGGCCTGTCTCCAGCCCTGGTGTTGATTACCTGGCCCTCTGCCAGTCCTGGGCTGAGGCTCCCCCTGATAGCCTCGCAGGCAGAATCCAGACGCAGACAAGGGCTCCAAAGGCAGAAATGACTGACTTGGAAAGAAATCAAGGATGGGTCCTTAACTTCACTATCGGGGAGAACTGCAAACCCCAATAACTGCTAGTGTCTCATTTTGGGTTGTCTCAGGGTGATAGCAGGTGGAGGGAGCTGCCCCCTCAGGAGACTAAAGAAAGGACTAGAGACTGGAGCCCAGAACAGCTGTCCTTGAGGGGCTTCAGAGTGAGCCTGAGGAAACCATTTCCTAAAATGGGGTGGACTGGCAAGTGGAACGAAGCCGGGAGTGGGACAGCCTCCTCGTGGCACCACTGTGGCATTGACCCAACTGAGCCTGGATCCTGCTCACATTCCCAGAAATGACCGGACCCCCTTCTCAGGAAAAGAGGCCTGGGAGGACAGGCTGGTGGAGGCTCAGAGGGACTTTGAGGCTGGGTTACACTGGACCTCTTTGCCAGTACAGTTCTCCCTCCACTGCAGCCAGGCCCCTCAGCTGTAGCCCCGGAGAAGCCGGGCAGTAAAGCATCAGTAGTTTGTGTCCTTCAGAAAGGACAGTCTCAGATCGGAGACCCAACCTGTCCATTGTTCCCTGATCTTCTGGAGAGGATTCCTGGAGGTGGGCCCAAACCTCTTGAACAACTTTCCTCCAGTGCTACCAAATGGCTCAATGATCATTGTTTTGGGGGAAGGGAAATGAAAGAAATCCAGATGCTCCAGGTTAAGTGTGAAGCAATGGCTTCATTTTAATAAAGCCAGTTGACTTTGCCCGTGGGCACTGAATACCAGAACACTGACCCGAAGCCTCTGCATGGAAGGGTCTGGGTTTCGTCGTGTTTACATTTCCAGCACCTGGCAGTGCCTAGCATCTTACAGAGATACTAGGAGGTAGATGACACTGCAATATCCTGCTCCATTCTGCCTTTTCTCCTGCATTTCTTACATTGTCTGACAATATGAGATTCCCCAAACCTCCATTTCCCTCCTGTTTATAGTGAGGGAGGAGAGTGAAGACGACTCCAACTCCAACTCCCAAGGAGTCTAAGAAACCATATGTTGTCATCAAAATGGTAAAACCTTAGGAAGTCAGGGCCTTAGGAAGCACCGGAGAATTCAAGGGGAATTTCTGTCCAGCACACATTAGGCACTAAACAAAAGTTAGTTAAAACTGAATAAGTCTGGAATCATCGAGGGACTGTCAACACATCTGCAGAGACCATGGGGTGGGAACCAGGGATCAGAAGGTGGGGGAATCTGAGGGAGGAACGGTAGGGAATGGAAACTGAAGGGTGGGAGAAGAGCTGAGGCATACTGGGAGGCCATCAGTTTTCCTGGGACAATGGTACCTAGGGCCCTTCGGGTCTCTATCAGTCTCCCCAAGCATCGTCATCCTTAGACTAACGTTGCACATCCCTTAAACACACAAACACACACACACACTCTTGGGAAGTCACAGAGAGGAAACAGCTGTTCTTTCTTCTTGTGGAAGGATGAGGGCTAGCAAGCAAAGGCAATTTACCATCACTTTCTCAAACCCTTCTCACATCATCTCATGCTTCTCTCAGCCTCTGTGAAGAGGACTTTCTCCTTCACTCAAGAAATTTCCCAGAGGACTTCTGGCCAAGATGGAGGTGTGGGTAGACACACTGTGCCTCCTCACTCAACCAAAAGAAGAACAACAACAAAATTAAAAACAAAAAACAACCAGAACTGCCAGAAAGTCGAACTGTATAGAAGTCCGACAACCAAAGAGTTAAAGAAAAAACATTCATTCAGACTGGTAGGAGGGGCGGAGACGGACAACTTGGCAGACAAGACTTGCAGCAAGGCAGCAGCCAGAGGACCTGGGTGGCAAGGCGGTGGCTGATAGACAGGGCAGTCCCGCATTTCTGTGCAGATAAACCAGGAGGAACAACTGGGGAGTGAGGCACACCACACAACCCAGGGTTCCAGTGTGGGGAAATAAAGCTTCAAAACCTCTGACTAAAAAAACCCTTAGTTCATAGCCCTGGCTGGTGTATCTCAGTGGACTGAGTGTGGGCTGTGAACCAAAGGGTCGGTAGTTCAATTCCTGGTCAGGGCACGTGCCTGGGTTGCAGGCCAGGTTTCCAGTGGAGGCCATGTGAAAGGCAACCACACATTGATGTTTCTCTCCCTCTCTTTCTCCCTCCCTTCCCCTCTCTCTAAAAATAAATAACAAATAAATAAAATCTAAAAAAAAACCCCTTAGTACACAAAACCACCCACCTGGGAATCAGCATCAGAAGGCCCAATTTGATTGTGGGTAGCGAGGGAAGTCTGAAAACTGACAGAGAGCACAGCAAGCAGCACGGTTCCTCTTGGATCTCTCCCCCACAAACAGCATCACAACACAGCAACAACCCTTTCCCCACCCTGGTGAACACCTAAGGCTCCACCCTTTACTTCATAATAGGTGTGCCCAGATAAAAAAAAAATGGCCCAAATGAAAGAAGAGATCAAAGCTCCAGAAAAAATATAACTAGGGACAAAGAGATAGCCACTATCAGATGCACAGTTCAAACCTATCAGATGCACAGTTCAAAACACTGGTGATCAGGATACTCATAGGATTGGTTGTGTATTGTCACAAAATAGAGGAAAAAGTGAAGACTATGAAAAGTGAAATAAAGAAAAATGTACAGGGCACCAACAGTGAAGGGAAGGAAACAGGGACTCAAATCAATGGTTTGGACCAGAAGGAAGAAAGAAACATTCAACAAGAACAGAATGCAGAAACAAGAATTCAAAAAAATTAGGAGAGGCTTAGGAACCTCTGGGACAACTTTAAATGTTCCAACATCCAAATCACAGGGGTGCCAGGAGGAGAAGAGGAAGACCAAAAAATTGAAAACTTATTTGAACAAATAATGAAGGAGAACTTCCCTGATCTGGCAAAGGCAATAGACTTTCAGGAAGTCCAGGAAGCTCAGAGAGTCCCAAAGAAGTTGAGCCCAAGGAGGAACACATCAAGGCACATCATAATTACATTACCCAAGATTAAATATAAGGAGAGAATCCTAGAAGCAGCAAGAAAAAAGGAGACAGTTACTTACAAAGGAGTTCCCATCAGACCGTCAGTTGATTTTTCTCAAAAGAGACCTTATAGGCAAGAAGGGGCTGGAAAGAAGTATTCCGAGTCATGAAAGGCAAGGACCTACATCCAAGATTGTTCTATCCAGCAAAGCTTTCATTTAGAATGGAAGGGCAGATAAAGTGCTTCTCAGATAAGGTCACATTCAAGGAGTTCATCATCACCAAGCCTTTATTAGATGAAATGTTAAAGGGGCTTATCTGTGAAAGAAGATAAGAAGATAAAAAATATGAACAGTAAAATGACAACAAATTCACAGCTATTAACAAACGAACCTAAAAAAAAAGCTAAGCAAACAACTAGAACAGAAACAGAATCACAGAAATGGAGATCACATAGAGGGTTATCAGCAAGGGGGTGAGACAAGGAGAGGGGGGGAAGGTACAGAGAATAAGTAGCATAAACGGTAGGTAAAAAATAGACAGGGGGAAGTTAAGAATAGTGTGGGAAATGTAGAAGCCAAAGCACTTATATGTATGACCATGGACATGAACTAAAGGGGAGAAATATAGGTGGGAGGGGGTGTGCAGGGTGGAGAGGAATAAAGGCGGGGGGAATGAGATAACTGTAATAGCATCATCAATAAAACATATGTCTTTAAAAGAAATTTCCCAGAATTCCCAGGGCTGAGGCACCTCCCCAGAAGCGTATGCCTTGGTCCACTTTTTTTTTAATCCTAGCCCCTGTCTATGAGAAGCTCTTCTAGGGCAGCCATTTTTAACCTTTTGAACACCATGGGCTCCTTTGAAAATCTAAGGGAAGTTCTAAGCCCCATAAAAATGACTCGGAATTTTGTATATGAGGTCTGTTCAGAAAAAGTCCAACCATTGTTAATATAACAAGAACGGTTTGTGTGACATCGATGCCTGGCAGCCAAGGAGAGTGGACTGGAATTCACACATGTGAACAATGACGACATCACTGTACTAGTCAGTGGGGGCAGTAGACACTGTTGAGTAAGCATGTGTGCTATGTAGCCGCCGCATTCAAAATGAGCGAGTAGAGCAACGAATCTGTGTCACATTTTGCATTAAGCTTGAACATTCCCTGTGGAAACTATTCAGATGATTCGGAAGGCTGCTATTATAGGCAACTGGTGATGGGCAGCTTTGTCACAACATGTGCCTGCTCATACATGCATCTCATGCAGAGATTTTTAGCAAAACATCAAATCGCCTGGGTGACTAAGCCCCCTACAGTCCAGATTTGGTGCCTTGCAACCTTTGGCTTTTCCCAAAACTGAAGTCACCTTTGAAAGGGAAGAGATTTCAGACCATTGATGAGATTCAGGAAAATCCAATGCGGCAGCTGATGGTGACTGGGAGAACTGTGTGAGGTCCCAAGGTGCCTACTTGGAAGGGGACTGAGGCATCACTGTTCTATGTACAGTGTTTCTTTTATCTTGCATCTTGTTCAATAAATGTCTCAAGTTCTCATAGTACTTGTCTGGATACTTTCTGGACAGACCCTTGTATACTTTTCAGGTCTAGGAGTTCACAGATCACCTAGAGCCATTACATGCCACAAACCCAGGTCAAGTGTCACTGTAATAAGGGTTTACTGAACTACCAGCAATGCAACTCAGGCGAGTTGTCTAACCTGAGAGCTTCAGCTCCTTGCCTACCCCAGCGCCTGCCCTGCTAAGTTAGCATGAGGATTAAATGAGGCGATACGTGAAAAGCAATTGTGCCTGGCAGATGGTGAGCATTCAATAAATGTTAGTTGTTGTTACATCTCTTCTGTGGTAATTCATAGTGGCATTTGAGAATATTTCTCATCTTCTATGCAAGAAATTCCATGCCAGACAACTAAATAAAAGAGGAAGGTGGTGTCAATTCATTTTAGAGGAAAAGGCTGATGGTGGTGGGACTCGGGAGCCCACCATCTGAAGAGCGTTTCCACAGGAAGGATCTCTTCTTCCTCATCTTCAAGAAGTAGACAAGGGCCATACTGAATGCCACACACTTTCTATATTGATGTTTTATCTGATGTATCCTGTACATCATTATCCTCACTTTCTATATAAAGAGGTTGAGACTGAGAAAGGTAAAGTAACTTGTCTGAAGTCACACAGCTACTAAGTGGTAGAATAAAGGTGCCAGAGCCAAGTCCAGTCCCCAAACTAGTGTTACCTCCACTGCATTTGGGTGACACACAAGTCAGAAGGAAACTGCTGAGCCAAGCCAAGGACAGGGTCACTGGGACACATTCTTCTTTGGGGAGCCCTTTATCTGTGCTGCTGGGCAGACAAGGCTGCTTCTCTGGCAGGAGGAAGCCACGGTCAGAGGGCAAAGCAGCAGCAGGGGCTGGACTTGGCTTCTGCACTCAGTGACCTAGAAGCTCAGGCTGGGAATGGGAGTGCAACTATTGCCAACTGCCTCAGCCTTGAGCTGTTCCCAGTCCACCTGCCCTCGCCACACAAAGTAGGGTCTCGGATCACAAATGCCACAAAGCGTATGTGGAGGGCAGCAGGACCCTTCTTCGAGGGTCCAGGCACAAACCCTTGGCCCCTAACCGACCCTGGGAAGCTGCTTGTCTTTATCTGTGACTTCCAATAACTCCTCCCTGGTACCTTCCTTCCTTTCTGATTGTTGATTACAATGTCTTGTCCACATTTGTTGAAAAACAAAAGGGGAGGATGGGAGGAGGAAGAAGAAAGAGTAAATTTCCAGTAATTGTTTCACTGCTGCAGCTCTTGTTGCTTGCAAAGCTGTTTGCCCCCATCCTTTTGCCTGAGCTCCTGCCCCTCCCTCTTTCCCTTCCTTCCCATCTCTCTCTTTCCAGCTGCCTCCCTCCTCCCTCCAAAGATAAACACTCACTTGAAAACTGCAGAGCTATCACTTACTGCTTCCTGAGGATGATTTCCCGCTGAGCCTCTGGCTGCACACACACTGGGGGACGTGAGGGGCAGGGTCTGGGGAGCAGGTGGAAGTGGGACTTCGGGTGGGCTGGGGGCGGGGTGGGGGAGAGGATGTTGCCATATGGGAGAGAACAGGTCCTGAGGTGGAAGATTCAGAGATACAGGAGACATGCGCCACTACAATGCAGTCTTGAGAGGGATGGAAATGGCCATGGGTCTGAGTGGAGAGAACAGAGTCCAGAAATAGGGGGGCTCAGTCTAGTGGAGTCTCCACCTGTGTGGGTCAAAGGCATAGAGGAGGAAACAAACAGAAAAATCTCATAAGGCTCCTCACTGAAAAAAAGATATCCATAGGTTAGCAACTGAGACCCCATGGAGAGGGAGAGAATAGAACTGTCTGGAAAATCAAAGCAAACCACATTTTGTATCACCAGAGCTCATCATGACAGATTTCTCAAACGCCACCTCCAGTTCCTGGGTAATAGGAGCATCTCTTCCTCTAATGAGGTGAATTTGATGGGCTCCTGGATGGCGTGGGGATGGAGGATGGCCATCAAAAGAGAGCAAACCTTCATAAGAAGCTTGCAACTTTCAGCCCCATTCCCCATCCTATAGGGAAAGAGTGGGTTGGACATTAACTTAATAATCAAACATGCCTATGTGATGAAGCCTCTGTAAAAATACCTGAACGATGAGGTTCGGAGATCTTCTGGGTTGGTGAGCACATCCGCACGCCCCCAGTGTGGTGCACCCCAGCTCCGCAGGGACAGGAGCTTCCTGACCCTCCCGACCTCACACTGGGTGTCTGCCGCTTTGTCTGACCGTGCAGCTGGGTCCTTCGTAATAAATCACTACGTGTGAGTGGATGTCTCCCAGAGCGCTGGGAGCCATGCCAGCAAATTATTGAAACTGAAGGGGACTTTGCGAGAACCCCTGACTTTGTAGCCACGCTGGACAGAAGTGTGTGTACCCTGAGGACCAATGGCTTGCGACCGGCACCTAAAGTGAGGACAATGCTGTGGGACTGAGTCCTTCAACCTGTGAGGTCTGACACTAACTTCTAGGTGTCAGAATTGAATTAAATGATCAGATACCCAGTTGGTGTCTGGGGAGCTAGAAAACTGGTGGGTGTCGGGGAGGGGGAACCCTACACACTTAGTGTCAGAAGTTTTGAGAGCAGAGAAACAGCTTTTCTAAAGGAAGCTTTAAGAAAACTGCAAGATTAAAAATACCCCTTCCCACAGGACGGCTGGTGGCGGCGGCCGCACAACAGTGCGAGCACGCGCTCGACGCTGCCGAGCTGTCTTTTTAACGCAGTTGGAGCGGCAGATGTGATGTTTAATAAAAGTAGTACAAAATGAATTAGCGCGCTTAAAAACATCCCCTCCCTGAACGGATAAACAAAATGTGCCCTTTCCGTGCAGTGGCCTAGGAGCCGGTCATGGACAGGAACGCAACACGACACAAGCTACCGTGCGGGTGAGCCTCAAAGATATTCCGCCGAGTGACAAAACCAGACACAAAGGCCATTTATGATCCCATTTATATTAAATATCCCTGATAGGTAAACCCACAGAGACAAAAAGCAGGACGGATACTGCCAGGGACTAGGCGAACAGGGAGTGAGTGCTTAATGGGTACCGGGCTTTCTTTTGGGGAAATGAAAACGTTTGGAACTAGATTGAGATCGTGGCTGCGCAACAATGCGAGCGTACTAGATGCCGCTGAGTTGTACACTTTACAATGATTGACCCTGTTGTGGGAATTTTACCTCGATGAAATGCACCTGAACCTAATCTCCTCCAGCCAACACGTTCCCGCCCTACATTCTACACTACATGACCCCAGTGCCAGGTGGCTCTGCCATCTATCTGCGCAGTGTGGCTTGTGAGACAGGCAACCTCTCTGGGCCTTACAGAGGATAAGAAAGCTCATCCTTTCTTCCCCCAGGGGCACCTCAAGGACCAAATGATGAACTGAGGCGAAAGCACCCTGAGAAGCAGGAAGCTCTGCTGACACAAGATGTTCTCCCACAACACGACCCACACCAGGGGTTACCCTATGGGCTGGAGGGAGGGGGAAGCTGAGTGACTTTCAGTCCCCCTCTCCCTCCCCCTCCCCCTCACACACACTTCACTAGAAGTGTGAAGCCGTGAGGGGAAGAATGCTGTTCCCTCTCCACCCAGATGCAGTCTCCCTGAAGCTCAACGCGGCCCCTTCCCCACCCCACATCCAGTCTCTCCTCTCTCCAGATTCTCAACTCAGACCTCCAAATGAAACCTGGGAGAATTGGCCGGGGAAGGGGGGGAGGGGAGAAGGGCCAGAGCGATTAAGAGTCTGATTTTCCGATGTTTTTAGCCCTCCCACCTCTCTCTAGTTCTATGTTAGTAGAAATGAAGGCAGACATGAAAGAGTGGGATTCCAAGGTAATTTAGAGAGTGGGAAACACAAATATATGTAAAGTGTTAAACACAGGCCCCGTCCTGCGCTAAGCACTTCACCGGCAGGGCTCATTTAATTCTCACACACACCCCCAGTAGTAGACCCTAAACTGTCCCACTTTGCAGGAGAGAGAGCCCAGGCCGTAGGAGGCAAATTCTCACATCTAGTGAGGGAGGAGTCTGGATTTTAATGCTTGCTGCCTGGCTCCTCCCTGACCCCCCGTACACTGGTCTTTTGCCGGACTTTCCCTCTAACTGGATTGGGGGAAGGCAGGAAAAATCCCAATCCTCTCCCACAGAGCCTCAGCCAGTGATCTGCTTCCCGGATGAGAAAGGCGGCCCTGAAGCCCAAAGCAAAGCCAGCCCCGAGGCTACAGTCCCTCCAGCCTCCTCGCAGCTTCCCAGCAGCCCAGACCCCCTGGGCTTCCAGACTGGAGGTGCTCCCGAGGGAAACTCAGGTGAGTGTCACTCCCTCTCAGGGAAGAAGGAATGGGGCTTGAAAGCAACCGCTTTTCCTACATGATCCTCAGATGTTCCCAGGGATGAATTAGAGGGGTGTGTGTGTTGCACACATTTGTGTGTGCATGCCCCACACTCACAGCCCAAATTGCAAAACAAAGCAAGAACCTCCCAAGAAAGGCCAGTGTGAAAGGGCCAAGGTGAGAAGCACCAGTAGGGAAATGCAGGCTTGAGCCAGCCCCTCAAATGCAGGCTTGAGGCTGGAGAAGGGTGGGACTGGCCCGGCTGGGAGGAGGTCTGGCTGGGCACAAACCCTTCTGGTCTCTCCCACCCGTGAGGCCCCTTAACAAAGTGTCTCTGCTCTTGGGTCAAAGCTCACAGTCTGAATGTGTATCTTCCCTTTCTTGCCTCTTCATACCTAGAATCTTTTCCCAAAGCCTCCTGGTCCCAGTGACCTGCTACCTGGGGGACACAAAGCTGTCACCCAAGTCTCCTTTCTCTTCCAACCCTCTCTTCTCCCCACCAGGCATTTGCTGGTCCTAGTCACGGCCAGCATGGAGTCCGGCCCTTCCACAGGGGTCACTGCAGAGCCTGACTATGACTTTGGAGAGATCCACAACTGGACTGAGCTGCTCTCCTTCTTCAACCACACTCTTTTGGAGTGCCACATTGAGCTCAGCGAGAGCACCAAGCGAGTGGTCCTCTTTGTCCTCTACTTGGCCATCTTCGTGGTTGGGCTGGTGGAGAACCTCCTGGTGATCTGCATCAACTGGCGCTACGCCGGCCGGGCAGGGCTGCTGAGCCTCTACATCCTCAACATGGCCATAGCGGACCTGGGCGTCATCCTATCTCTGCCCGTGTGGATGCTGGAGGTCACGCTGGACTACACCTGGCTCTGGGGCAGCTTCTCCTGCCGCTTTGCCCACTACTTCTACTTTGCCAACATGTACAGCAGCATCTTCTTCCTGGTGTGCCTCAGCATTGACCGCTACGTCACCCTTACCAATGCCTCTCCCTCCCAGCAGCGCCAGCAGCACCGAGTGCGGCGGGCGGTGTGTGCAGGTGTCTGGGTGCTCTCAGCCATCATTCCACTGCCCGAGGTGGCCCACATCCAGCTTGTGGAGAGCTCTGAGCCCATGTGCCTCTTCATGGCACCTTTTGAGACCTTCAGCACGTGGGCCCTGGTGGTGACTCTGTCCACCACCGTCCTGGGCTTCTTGCTGCCTTTTGCTCTCATCGCGGTCTTCAACGTGCTGACGGCCTGCAGGCTCCGGCGGGCAGCCCGGCCTGAGGGCCGGCGCCACTCTCTGCTGATGTGTGCCTACGTCACCGTCTTTGCCGTCTGTTGGCTTCCCTACCACGCGACCCTGCTGCTGCTCACACTGCACGGGATCCACATCTCCCTCCACTGCTACCTGGCTCACCTGCTCTACTTCTTTTATGACGTCATCGACTGCTTCTCCATGCTCCACTGCGTCATCAACCCCATCCTTTACAACTTTCTCAGCCCGAGCTTCAGGGGCCGGCTGCTGAGTGCTGTGGTCCATTACCTTCCCAAGGTCCAGAGCGGGGCAGGCCGACGCGCTTCCTCCTCCTCCTCCTCCACGCAGCACTCCATCGTCATCACCAAGGAGGGCACCCAGCCCACCACAGCCGGCCCCCACCACCATCCTAGCCTGGACTTCCAGCCACCGAATACTTCACCCATCTCCACCCCTCAGTCTCTTACAGCCAGCTGAGGTGGAGCTCAGTCTCCTCCCTCTGTGAAGCGGAAAGCTGGAATTATAGGTGAGAGGTTTTGGGGGAGCAGGAGAAAGGGTCAAAGCATCATGCAGGGTCAGTTTTGACTTTATCTTATATCTTCAGGTGGGGAGGGGGGAGGGAGAAGGATGGGGGAGATAAAGAACAGGTCCTTGGTGTCGTACTGGTTGTCTCAGTCCTTGTGTCTAAGGCAGACACACGGGGGGGGGGGGGAGGTGAAATAAAGTAATAGAGACAGCCACAACTCCGGATCTCTGAAAAATCTGCTCTTGAGGCTGGGACTGGGGAAACAGCTGAGGTGACAGAGACGTGTGGCAGAAACGGCACGCACTGCAGAAATCGCCCTGGCCCGGAAAGAGTGAGCTCCACAGGGACTTCACAAAACTTTCCTTTTGTGTTTGTGCACTTGTTGATCTGCCAGCACAGCAGGCAGGCTGTGGGGACAAGAGGCCAGAGGCCAAGGAACCAGGAGGTCTCAGCAGGACGCACTGCATCCTCAGTGCCGAGATAAACAGAGGGGGTTGGGGAAGCAGGGGGGGGCAAAGCCATGGTCTGAGCAGGCACCAGCAGCTGGGTGGTCAGGGTGGTTCTCCACCCACTTCCACCATCCAGGAAACTCTCCATTTCCTTGCTGATACTCTCCGCATCACCTGTCCAGCTCCCCTCTCTCAGAGCAGAGAAACCACCCCAGTCACTGCTGCTCATAGCCTGTCTCCCCACAGCTTTGGATGGAGGACATTTCGGATCTAGGTGAGATGCTATCAGAAGTCCACCCCGTCCCTCTGGTTCTCTCCAGATGTTCACAGCACAATAGCAAGGGATGCCCATTCTGGGAGCAGACCGTGGGACAGCAGCAGCAAGCACTGACAGATGCTCTGTCCCTCAGCCTGTGTTCCCTGTGCAGGCCGGGGAAGTGGGGATCTCCCCTCTGTCTCGGGGCAAAGCTCTGGTGCTCTTCCATCAGTTCTCACCCTCACACTTCTCTCTGGCCTAGGCTTCTCCACAATTTATCTGTCCAGCAACTTAGTTCTATAAACACTTGTCCTAGAGACAGGAAAAGAAGTCCTCTTGTTGACAAGTGGGTCTCCTGGAAAGGCTCATTTATCAGTTTGGGAAACTAGGACCATGACCATGAAGAACTCTGACTGAAGAAAAAGCCTAAGAACAGGTTCAAGTCCTTGGCCTCTTAACCCTGACTGTGGAGACCTAAGGGCTTGTTGACCGAACCGCTGAGAGCCTCCGTCCTGCTCAGTGCTCTGTGTCTGGAATGTTTAACTTGAAATAACTCATTGCCCTGGAGCGCCGTCTCCTCTGCTCTTAGAAAAGCCAAAACTGTTCACCAGCTGCATTAGACACACACTCCAATGGTGTACGCTCCCATCTGTCAGAAGCATGGGGGCAAATCTTTATCCACAGCCCCCCTATACACTGGGCCCAGCCTCAAAGGGTCTTAAGCTACAAACAGCTGCTCAGTGGCATAGAGCCGAAGGTTTTTCAACTTGGATAGTCCAGGCTGGGGTTGCAGTTAGGAATCACCAATATAGAAAATACATTACACTTTCTCCCCTATGCCAGTGTGAAAACCAAGCCAATATCTGATGCCCATATCGTTGCCTCCCGACCTGTGCTGCCAGGTTCCCTAAAGGAAACTCAATTTTATATCCCTGTCACTTCCCAGGTTACCTCAGAGTCCACTTCCCCAAGATTGTGCTCTTCTCACGGATTTCACTCAGGCAACCAGTTCCGACCATGTTCCCACACTCCCTTAGGGCCTTGGGAGGGCAGGGAACCGGCGGTGCTGCCCGCAGCCAGGCTGCCCGGTTCAGCCTTTCCTGAGCAGGGACGGGGTCCAGGCCCTGGCAGTGTACTCAGACCAAACCAACCAACCGCATCCTACCTTGACTTCAGGAGGCTTGTCTCCTTCTCTGTGGAGGCACATTTGTTCTCAGCCTCCAGAAAAGATGCCAAACCTCTGCCTCTGTTTGACCCGCCCCTCCCTGCCCCAATGTGCCACATTGCAGTGAGTTTCATAACACTGGCAAGACAATCTGTGGCCAAATCCCAAAGCCAACTAGACATTAGTAGAGTTCCACTTTGCTCTCTCTACTAACAGAAGACCCCCTCAGACATGTCCTCCCCAAAAAGGTAGAATCATTTACTTAATTTCCCACTAAAAACAGGACATTGAGTTAACCCTGGGGAACTCCAGCTACAGGAAAGTGTGCTTGCTACCTAAAGGTCCCCACAGAGCTGAGCGCCGCTACTGCACGGGCCACGGCCCAGACGCTCTGAACTCAGGGACTCGCAAGACTACAGTGAAAGGAAAAGAACTCCCATTTCCAATTTCCTTTTTTTATTCTAAATAAAAACCACACTTTGTGCCGAACAATGGAATATAAAAGAATCAGATGTACAACGATTTTAGACATCTACTATTTGGGAAAAAAAGTTTACAAAATATACAAAACTTTACAGCAATAGATAGTAAACACTTAAATATTAGGAGGTCAGTACTTATGAATTTAATGGAAGGAGTCAGACAGCGACGGCTCTTCTCCATTCCGTGAGAGACTTTAGCTAGTGGAGTCGGAGGGGCGGGTGGACTGGAGAGGGAAGGGGTGTCAAAGAAACACTGAAATCCAAACAGCTTCATTTCCATCCTGATGTCAAGTTTACGACGAGCAACCACACCAACATGAGCGCTGGGTGCCCCACTTCCCGACTCGGCCAGTGCACAGTTTAGGAGAGAGGGCGTGCAGCGACTCCCAGACGGGCTCAGACCGCTCCACACAGCCCACTCTCATGCCAGTAACATCAGTGTCCACCTACAAAGGGACTGAAATTCACTTCCACAGCTGTGCAGCCTGCGAAAACAGGGCACAGCAGGAGGCCAGAAGGGGAAGAAAAACCATCAGTAGCAAAACCCGACTGGGGAGGAGGTATTTAAGCCCAAAGGCTTGTCCCAGAGACAACGGGGTGATGACAGGTCAGCAGAGGCAAAGATGAACTGTTACCCATTTTCTGGTTCTTAGGGGTCACCTGGGCCAGAGCCCCATCCCCACCTCCTTTCTTCCCAACTGACCTTGAACTATAGACTCCATGGAGTCTGAAAATTCAGAACCAAACATGAGGATACAGCTGGGCTTCCCAGCAGATGCTGTGACAGCCACTGGGGGACACAGAGGAGCCGGGACAGGACCCCCTCTGGGCACGAGCAGCCTCTGCTCTGTGTCCTGGTGTTGCCACGAGAGTGCCACCCTCTTCCCTTAGGAAACAGGTTGAGAACACCCTCATGCTTGGTTTAATGTTCTATAATTGCCATCTTGAAATGCTTAGTAATTTTTAAACAAAGGGCTCTGCCAATTATGTAGCCAGCCGGAGTATAGAACAAGAGAACGGAGGAAAAAGAAGAAAAGACATTCAAGGGTCAAACTGGATCTTGGAACAGTACAGCAGGAGACAGCGCTAAACTGGGTTCCAGGGCAGAGGGTGCAGCAACACCAAATGAACAGACGTTGACAAAATAAAAAACTCAAAATAAAATCAACACCTTCCACTAGGTATCCTGGAGTGCCCTTTGTCACAATGCAGTGTTTCAAGTAAAACAGTTCAGTACGGGGTGACCCAGAGGCAGAGGCAGCAAACATGATCCCAAAGAGAGAGAAGTTTGGGTGTGAACACGGGACACACGGAGGAGCAGGGTCTGGTCAAGGAGCCTCACAGGCCGCTGACCCTGCTTCCACATCTGACTGTGACCGGCCGGACCACCCGATCAGCCTCTTGGCCTCAGGAGGATCGGGGGTGCAGTTTTTTTGTTTAGTGTTTCAGGGCAAAGTTTCAAGGATTTGCTTTTTGGTTTACTGGCAAAAAGGGAATACTTCACAGTTTCAGGTTAAATATACAGACTACCCAGCATGCCCTCTGTTAAGGAAAAGGGTTTCTCCAGCACCTTAACCCTGGCTAGGTTCCAGTACTACCTCTCTCAAATCTGGTCATTTAAAAAATCAGTCCTGACCTGACTGATGCAGCTCAGGGGACTGAGTGCAGGCTGCGAACCAAAGGGTCGCCAGTTTGATTCCCAGTCAGGGCACATGCCTGGGTTGCGGGCCAGGTCCCCAATACAGGACACTCAAGAGGTAACAGTGATGTTTCTCTCCCTCTCTTTCTCCTCTTCCCCTCTGTCTAAAAATGAATAAATAAAATCTTTTAAAAAATACTTAAAAAAAATTAGTCCTTACCAACAGCCTGGGAGGGATCACTCAGGCTTGAAAAGCTTAGCAGACACTTGACGGTCATCTTTTACATATTTTCCTTCTTAAATTTCTAATGGTCAGTGTGGGAAAGAGAGAAGCCAGTCAGGGATGAAAAGTCTCAGCGCTGCTTTCCTGACAAATAGGTCTGAGGAAGATTCAACAAGCTGGGTTTAGATGAAGGTGCCACTCGTACAAGTCCCTTCATGTACCGGCCACCCCACCAGAGAGCCATGCACTCCAACTCAGAGGCTTTATGAGCTTAGGGCTGGGGAGAGAGGCAGCAGGTCCACCAAAGACAGAGCTTCGGTTTGCCTATATATCTTAATGCAGCTTTCCGCGTTTAGGAGCAATGAAAAAATGTGCAAAAAGGTCCTTCATGTGACTGGATCCCCTCAGCCCAGGCCCCAATCTCCCCCGTCACAGCATGGAAGGAGGATGAAAAGCCTAGGAATTCCACAAGCCCCGACTTCCTAGAGCGTATATCCATTGCCTGAGAGGTTCTCTGGGTTTATTCTGGAAGAGCCTATCTGGAGAGAAAAAAGAGAATTTGTTTATTTAAAGGCGTGACACGTTCTCTCCCAGTTCTGGCCTATTTCCCAAAACTCTGGCCAGAACTGTCCCCTGGAACATGGCTCCTTGCTGGAGAGAAACTCATTTTCCTGAAGTCTCTTATCCAAAAGAGATGCTGGGTAATATGCATACAAAAATTAAAATAAATAAATATTAATGTCAAAAAAGGCTTTGTGAGTTCATTAAAACCACTTGCTTGTGAAACAGCCTGGGGTGCTGCTGAGTCCCACAAGGGGCAGTGTCAGGGCCCAGGCAGGGGCTCCCAGAGCACGCCTGGGTGGTGAGGTAGTATGAGGTACTGAGGTGAGCCAGTGAGGACGCGAAACAAAGGGCCCTCTCACTCAAGCCTTCTTTGGGCAAGACCCCCTCAAAAGTCAACTAAGAACAAAACAGCTTGGGCTGGGCAGAAATGTTTCCCAGACACCTAGGGAGGGCCTGAACTAGGGGCCAACGAATAGAGCCCCCTGGTGGCAATGCGAAGACAGATCAGGATAAATTCCAGCAGGTCAAAAGTCAGCGGCCAAAGCTGCTGCCCAGCTGCACAAAGTAAACAACAGGTTACCCAACTGGGCCAGAGATGCATCCCACCACACACCACCAGTCACTCGGTCCCTTTAATCCTGAAGGACTCCCAGTCCATCACTCCACCTCACAGGGTCTTCTCATCTACACTACAGGTCAAACACACATGTAGGTGGGAGACAGGGTGTAAATTAAGGCAAGGCTGCTGCTGTAGGAGACATCCCCACCTCTCCACTAGGAAACTCAAGGTTGACAGAAGTGGCCAGATAACAGATTGACTACATCAAATGGCTCCCTGTCCTCTTTGCCCCACAACGAAGGCCTGACGTCCTGGGCCGTCACTCCATAAAATCATGTTTCTTTGGAATTGAGAAGAGAAACCTCCCTTCCTGTCCATCCAGGCTGCCACTTCTGATGGCACTGAAGAACCTCTTCTGGCTGGCAAGGAATCATCCCAAAGCTTTCTAGTCTAAATAGAAAGCTTAGTCCCCAGTTGGATTTAGCTTCCACAAGATTTTACTGTCCAACCAGCAGATAGATTAGAGCTGTGAAACCAACAGGCACCTCTATCCCTGATGCCTTTTCCCTGCTGAAGCTTGGGACCAGAACCTGGGGTGAGCTGCCCTGCTAACTAGTCTTTTTTAAACGAACACATTGCCAAAATCTCTCTCACAGTTGGCTGCCTTAGTGGGAGATCTGGCAGTTGCACCCGCAGCGAAAACCTCTACCTCCTCTATTCGGTGAGGCTGTTGGTTGGATTCTTAGCAGCACAGAACTCAAGAGGCTGAGGGAGGGGATCTAGTTGACACCAACCACCTGATGAGATCCCAAGACCGGCCTCAAAAAACCCAAAAACACAGCCCTCCGTGGACAAGAACGGGTAAGGAGGTAAACATGATAGGGCCATTGCTTCTCAAATACATGTGCTATTTCTTCTTTTTTCTTCTTTAAACATAAGACAGAACAGAATTGCTACCAAGGCAAAGTTGTAACTTCAGCTGGGGTGGGAGCAACAGCCATTAGAAAATTAATGTCCTGGCTGCCAACTGGGAGCTCTCCTTGGCTCTGCTGGGACCCAGTCAGCTGTCCAGGTTCTTTTCCGCCTCTTTGGAATGGATAATGTACATGAAAGTCTGCTCAATGGTGAAGTCAGGTGGGAGGTTGCCTTTGTGCACGCCAACGTGCTTGCTCATGAGGTTAAGGGTGGAGCTGTAGTGGCCACAGACTGTGCAGCGATACATGAGGGCCCCTGAATGTGTCTTCAGGTGGCATTTGATAGTTGAGCGACCTCGGAAGAACTTGTGGCACACCTTACACTGGTACGGCTTCTCACCGGTATGGATCCGCCGGTGGTAGTTAAACTCGCTTGTGTGGGCAAACCTTTTGCCACAGACTTTGCAGCTATACTTGCTGTTCCCAGGTTGGCCCTGTAGAGCTAGCTCCTCGCTCAGGAACTCCTCCGCTGGCAGCTTCCGCTTCTGGAGAGCTGAGTGCTGTAGCCCAAAGCTAGGCCGTGGGTCAAGGCCACTGTTGCATTTGTGCTGGCTGAGGTGGTAGCGATAGGCAGCCTCTGACTTGAAGCTCTGGCTACACAAGTGGCAGCGAAAGAGGGTGTCTTCCAGGCTCTGGTGCACGGCCATGTGCTTCTCTAGGAGATGCCAGTCCACAAAGCTGTTTGCACAGACGGAGCAGGAAAAGACTGAAATGCCAAGATGGGAGAGCATGTGCCACATGAGGCTGCAGAGGTTGAGGTGGCGCTGGTCACAGACACTGCAGGCCTGGCCTTTCAAGTTCAGGTGGTCGAGAATGTGGCCCCGGACCATGTGGAAATCTTTGGCCATTGCCTTCCCACAGGCAGCACACTTCAATTCTGTGGAGGCAGCCCCTGAAAACAAACTCAGCTTCCCAGGCAGGGGATCATTGGGGTGGACGATGATGTTGTTCTCAAATATTCCATCCCGTCGGTGGAGGGTCAGCTGCCACTGGGTAAAGAATTTAGTTTCACACATGTCGCAGGAGAAGAGGAAAATACCAATGTGAGAGAGAACATGAGTCACCCGTGAGTTTCGGTCCTGGAAGTGGGTCTCACATACCTTGCAGTTGCCTGTCAGCAGGTCCACGTGGTCCCGAGCATGCTGTCGAATCAGCTGAATGTTGGGCTCTAGAACTTTCTTGCACACCTGGCAGGGCATGGCTTTATTCTCTCGGTTGTCATTCTCTCCAAAGGTCAGCTCATCCTCACTGTCGTCACTCAATTCAATCACCTCCTCCGCTGTCCCTATGTCCTCAGTGGGGTCTTCAAATTGCAAGTCATCATCCCCCAGGTCCTCCAGCTGGAGCTCATCTATCTGCTCAAAGGCTGGATCTTTGGAGTGGTCGCTGTTGCTCAGACAGGAGTTGGTCCCAGTGGTAATATCTATTGCATTGTCGGGGGAGAAGAAGCTGTTTTTACTGAAGTCTCCATTGCTCTGAAGTTTGTATGGCTGGCAGGAGCTCGTGCTGGTTTGGATGCCCATGCTGACAGTGCCTAGGACTGGCTGGGTCACCACACTAGGTACAGATGTGAAAGGAGCAGGGTTCTCACGGTCTTCCGTCTTTGATGGCAATGGCTGCTGTGGCAGAGGCAGGCTATGGTTAGTGTCACTGGTAACATTCCTCTCTTCCTCTTTATAGTTTCCTCCAGCATCACTAGGTAAGACATAGTTTCTATCAGGACCAAAGTGCTCCCCACTGCCCCGGAGTTCTCCAAGAGGATGGGCAGGTTCTGCTGAGCTACAACTCAGCGTGCTGGAGCGATTCTCACTGGTGCTGGTCAGGGGCTTGGCCACAGCCGTGCTCTCCAAATCAGGAAAGGTGGAATGACAAGCCCGAAGGAGGTCCTCCATCCCCAGACGCTCAGCTACCTCGTAGATAACCCCAACGTTGATCAGGTCCGTGAAGAGCTCCGATGTGTAGACAAAGCTCAGAATCTTCTCAAAGTTGGCAGGAGTGATAAAGTCCACCACATAGGTCCTGGCAGCATCCAGCCCAGTGTTTAGGAAGAGGTTCTGGAAGTAGCCAGCCGCACAGGCCAGCACAGCTTTGTGAGCTGGGAAGGAGCGACTCCCCACCACAATGGTGACATCGCACATGGTCTCTGAGAGCCGGCACTTGTTGAGTTCCTTCAGCAGGTTGTTGGGGTGATTGGTGCTTTGCAGTTTGATCCTCATGCCCATCTTAGCAGCTCCTATGAAGTTGCCTCCTTACCAGCACGGTTAATCTGTGGACTGCAAAAGGAAAAGATGGATGGCCAAACACATCCCTGCAAGCAAGGCACTCTGCAGGAGAAAACAGCACCAGTCTGAGAGTTTCAAAGCCCAAGGTGGGGAGCAGAGTGAACAGACACAGAGAGCTGCTCCATTCTGCTGAGAGCAAGGACAGCAAAATGACAAACAATGATCTCTCTACCTGCACATACCCAAAAAGAGTTGTCATGACAAACGCCAAAACCACTGAAAAAATCTGACAGCCTGGTCTTTAAGATTCAATAAGAGAGGTTGTGGGCCTGGTTGGACAGAAGCTAGTGCCTTACAGCCAAGCCAGAGATAGCCTCTCGGATGTAATCTTATACCTCATTTCTGGAGCAACTGGCCCAAATCTTTCTCATGTTAATTCCCTAATTTCCTCCTATCTCATTGGGTACATTCTCTTCCCTTACAATGTCACATCATATACTTATCTGAACACAACTATCAAAGCTCCTTTCATTGCTAAGAAAAAGATAAGGATGCTCCCTCCACCTTTTAGTTTTCTAGCATTGCTGTGTCCTTTCACATCCTAAATAAATCTCTTGCTCATTTTTGAGTTCCTATCTTTTCCTACCTGTGCTACCTGCCCAGTCTCTTGTCTCCACAACCCAGAGCCACTCCGATAGTACTCTATCACATTCTCTGTGAGCTGTGGGTGAAGTAAAAATACTTCGGAACCCAACGGAGTAAAAGCAAAGTAGAACACAACTGTGATACTTAATATTGCTTAAATATACTTTATTTCTATTTACCACCCTTTCCGGGATTTATATTTCTGTTGACCAGGACTAAGAGATATACTTGTTGCCAAAAGGAGACATCTATGGTAATTGTATAGGTAAGACTCCTAAAAAGCTTGCTGAGTGCCACTTTTCCCTCTTTGAATCTCGAATGCCCAAGTAAGAGAAGACCAGCAACATTCTTCTGTCTCACTTCTTGTCCTGCGCAACACAGTCCCCTGCACCTCACCGCATTCTACTAACTCCCAACTTTTGCCGGGGCCCAGAAAGCTTCTGAGCATTGTCTGGGTGCCAGCCAAGCAGCTCCCGGGCCCTGGTGGCCGGCCACACATCAACGGTCAGCAGGTCGGGGCTCTAGGAAGCCTGACTGGGGGCGGGAGAGGGGCAGATTCGGAACTTCCGAGAAGGTACCCCAACAATCCCGTGGCGCCGCAGTCTTCCCTCTGGAGATCGAATCCAAGAGGAGGGGCGTTGGATCGGGCTGGGGCACTCCGGCTGGGTGGCACCGAGCAGCTGGGTCTCTCCCCAAAGAGCCTCGATTCCACTGGTGAACTCCGGGAGGGGGGGAGGCACGCAGGGCGCAGGGCCGCCCGGAGGCCAGGGATGGGCAGCGAGGTCGGCCAGGGTCGGCGCGCGATCAGGGAGGTTGGGTCCGGCCGAAGGGGGTGCACAGGAGGGAGCCCAGCAGGAGCGAGAAAGGCCAGGACAGGGGTCGGGCGTTGGCCAAGGACAGCCGTCGGCCCGCTTACCCGGCTCCGCGGGGCCCGAGCACCATCGCCGCTGCTGCCTCACACAAAGGCCCCGGCCCGCCGTGCCCGGCCCGACAAGGAGGCGGCGCCGCCGGCCACGGCCAGACTCTCCATCCGCTTCGCTGCTCGCAGTGCCGGCCCGGGCTGCCCCCGCTGCCCGGCCCGCAGCGCCCCCCGCCGTCCTGGAGGAGGCAGCGCCCCCCCCTTCGGCCGCTCGACCGCAGCGCCCCCGCACGGTGGGACCTGGAGTGAAGTGGGCGGGGCGCAAAGCCACGGAGCCAACATTAGCCAGCAGCTAGTCCCAACGAAATCAGGGACCCCAGCCTCAGAGCTGCCTCCACTCATCTCGTAGCCCTGGGCCTGCCCCTCGTGAGCAATTATGGGGGCATTTAGAATTTCCCCACCCCCCCAAGTTTTGCCTTTTCGAAAGCACTAATCCACCAGGTAGAGGACCACTCCTTCCTCCCGCTGGTACCTGGAGAAGCAGAAAAACCCCTATCCCAACTCAAAGCTCTTATCGCCTCCGCGGTTCTATGCCTTTCCCTCCTCAATACATAGGAACCTCTCAAGCTCCAGGACCCTTCTGTTTCAGCCTCTCTCCTGTCTCATCCTACCACTGCCGGGCGATAGGCAGCCAGGCCTAAACCCTCACATGGGGATACTGTAGGGCTCAGCATTTCCTGGATGGATGAATGGAAAGAGGAACACACACAGGATGATGCCAGCTGATCTAAGCCAGTTTGGCTGGTTAACAATCGTCAGTTATTCTGATGAATTTAGGAGATTGTGTGTCCCCTTTTCCACAATCTCACTAACTGGTGGTAGATTATACTGAAAGCTAACATTTTACTAAATGCTGCCAAACATGTAATATTTATTAGCACGGGGATGCAAAAACTGCCACACAACCTGTTCTTGTAGTTTGGGAGCAGGCAATCCAGTCAGCTCTCTAGTGAAAGGATCAGTTGGAGACTGATATATGTTGCTAGGCAGGCCCAACCCCTGCAGCTGAGGCCACCAAGTGCTCCTGAAGCGGAGTATCTTACAACCAACAAACTCCATACCTCCAGCATGACACTGAAACATTAGGGCTGCAAGACTTGCGACAGTCTTGGCCCTGTTCAATCTTTCTAACCAACTGCATTAACCATCTGTTAGAGAGAGACAGACAGACAAGAGGCCCCAATTGGGGAGTCCCTTGTGCTAAGTCCATATTAACAACCAAGACTTAATACCTCACCTAACTGGAGTTTCAGCCTCTCTCAGGAATGTAATCTTAACCGGTCAGTCTGGAATTTCCCAGTCAGCACTAGTGAGGTAATCTGCCTGATAGTCCCCTGCCCCGGAGTTGGGGGTGGGCCCCCCCCCCCCCCCCCCAGGAAGGTGGCCTTGTTAGGATACTCAACTCTTGGCTAACTCACTTCCTTGTCCCACCTCTTTTTTGCCTTTAAGGCCTTTCCTTTTCTATAACTCTTTTGTGCTTCTTTCTATCTGCCACATGGGATTAGTTGCCTGATTTAGAAATTTTTTAATAAAGCCAATTTAATCTTTGCATTTATTTGGTTGAATTTTGGTTTTTAACAGTGGCAGCCCTGCATCAAGCAAATATGTCAGCGCCATTTTGCCAACAGATTCAGAAAACAATTAGTATTTTTGGCAATAAAGTATTTTTTAATTAAGGTATGTACATTGCTTTTTTAGACATAATGCTACTACTGCTCACTGAATAGACTACAGTATAGTGTGAACATAACTTTTATATGCACTGGGAAGCCAAAAAAAATTCCAGCCCTGGCTGGTGTAGCTCAGGGGAATGAGTGCGGGCCTGCGAACCAAAGGATCATGGTTTGATTCCCAGTCAGGGCACATGCCTGGGTTATAGGCCAGTTCCCAGCAGGGGACTCACGAGAGGCAACCATACACTGATATTTCTCTTCCTTTCTCCTTTCCTTCCCCTCTAAGGCTAAATAAATAAAATCTTAAACTTTCAAAAAGCTTGTAACACCATTTGAAAAAAAAACATTCTTGAGAAGAATCAGTCTGGTGTTCTTAGCCTCTGGACTGGTCCAAGATATTAATCCCCTGGGTGACCAGTTGTCTGGATGATGGGTGTCAGGTGGTCTTGATATGTGACCAATCTATTCTTAGTCTTTCTGGGGAGTGACCAGGCAGTTATTTGGAGGTTTGGTGGATATCAGGTATTGAAGAAGGACTAAAAGTTCAAGTTTTATTTTCCAGTCTAGTTAGAACAAAGATATAATCATTTTCTCATGCCTCAAACTGCTTGATTTTAGTAATTGAGCAGCTTGACTATAACAACTTCATTTTATTTCTTTACTTTTCCTCAGCGCCTGTTGTGGACAACAAGAGGCTTCGCACTGCACCTGACAAGCTCGGGGGAGGTCTGCGCCGTGGGCCCAACACACTCAGGGACGGAAGGCAATCACAGAGAGTAGTCTGAAAGTAAACCTTCCTGGCTAAAAGCAAGTCATGGCAAGTAATCATGTCCTAGGCTGGTGTCTTTCTTGACAAAGGTCAATCTCTGCCATAACTGAGCCTGTCTGAGCCTGTCTGTTGTCTTTTTGCATCCGCAAGAACATTTTTTGGGAACATCAGAATAACCCCGCCTTCCCAGACCCTTTAGGGCACACTCTCCACATGACCATTGTCACCTCCTGCACCCATTGTCACCTCGTTTACCTGTGCTGTAAACGTTCATTGTTAACTATCCTGTACCCACCAATCAGTCTCCTCATTTGACCCTTTTCTTTTTCTTTTTTAAATATATTTTATTGATTATGCTATTACAGTTGTCCCATTGTTCCCCCTTCACTCCCCTCCGCCCTGCACACCCTCTCCCACCCATATTTTATCAAATCTCAGAGATTTCCCTGCTTTGCTTTCTCCCACCTCCCTGATCTATCATCATAAATTTCAGGTAACCCTCCTTGTGCCTCCTCCTTTGATTCTAATGAGCAAAATAAGGGGCAAAACTGCCATTGTCTGGAGCATTTTCTCAATCTGTTGAGATTTTGTTTCCCAGCAATTGTTGTCAGTTTGGCTCAAATAAACTCATAAAAATTTTTACAGGTTTGGACGTTTCTTACATCAACACTAGGTAATGAAGCTTACACACACACACACACACACACACACACACACACACACAAGAAAGTTCAAAGTTCAGAGAGCTCATGGATTGGTGAATACTTGGAGATTCAGAGAGAGGAGAGCTGTGCATTCAGAGAGCGCGTAGAAGCTCTGTGTTCCCCATGCCTTCACCTATGCACCTCTTTCACCTGGCTCTTCCAGAGCTCTAACCTTTTGTAATAAACTGAGAGTAGTTTATTGAACCCAGGCCATAGGTCATGGGAACCTCCAATCTGCAGAAGGTTGGTCAGAAGCAGGGTAACAACCTGATCCTGGATTGACATGTGAAGTTGGGGGGTAGTCTTGTCAGGACAAGCCCTTGCCCCGGCTGGTGTGGCTCAGTGGGCAGAGTGTCAGCCTGTAAACCAAAAGGTCGCTAATTCCATTCCTAGTCAGGGCACGTGCCTGGGTTGCAGGCCAGGTGTCCACTTGGGGGTGTGTATGAGAAGCAACTGATCACACATCAGTGTTTCTCTCCCTCTCTTTCTCCCACTCTAGAAATAAATAAACAAAAGAATAAGCCCTCAACGTATGGAATCTGATATCCTCTCTGGGCAGATAATCACAGCATGGCTTGTTGGTATAGGAAAACCTACTCCCAGACACAGTGGAACTGGGTCCAGAGCATTTAGTACTGAAGTCTTTTTTTTTTTAGCATGATCAATAAAATATATTTAATAAAAATAAAGGAAAAGAATTTACAGACCAATATTTCTCATGAGCATAAGGATACAAAAAATAAAGAAACAATGAAATACTAGCACATGAATACAGCAACATATAAAGCACCTCATCACCAAGTGGAGTTCATCCCAGGAATGCAAAGTTAGCCCAACCTGCAAAACTCAGTGAGTGTAATGCACCACATCAACTGAATAAAAAGCAAAATATATTTGTTAAGTAGAAGCAGAAAAAAAGCATTTAGCAAAATCCACAGGCTATTTATGATGAAAAATTCTCAGTAAATGCAGAATAAAAGGGAAATTTCACAATCTGTTAAAGGACATCTCCCAGAAATATACAGCTGAATTTATTCTAAACTGTGAATCAGCAAATGTTCCCTACCTTGATCAGGAATAAGGCAAGGACGTCCACCTTCACCACTCTGAACGGCACAGTACTGGAACACCCAGTCAGTGCAATAAGGCGACAAAAACAAAAACAAAAAGGCGTAACGGTTGGAAAGGAGGAAGTGAAATTATCCCTATTTGCAGAAGACATAGTTCTGCAGTAAATACTACTAGGACTAATAATGCGTACTTAGCAAAATCAGATTATGTGGTCAATATGCAAAAATAATATTTCTATATACTAGCAAGAATAATTGGAAAATGAAATTAAAGTATAAGTCACATTGTGCCAGACTTCTGGTAGGCACCCTGATGGCATCTTGCATCACTCAGATTATAATTCAAAGTCTTTCCCGTGTGCCACGAGGCTCTCTTGCTGTGTACACTCCTCTCCCTATAGCACCCAGCATGTCTCTGACCTCTCCACCACCTCCCCCTGGCTCCCTCTGCTGTGTCCACAACTTTGGCATTTGCTCTTCTCTGTGCCTGCACACTCTTCCCTGGCATACCCCACTGCTCACTCCCTGACTCTTTCAGGTGTATGTTCAACTGTCCCCTTCCCAGAGGTCTTCCCTGATCACTTTATATAAAATAGTTCCTCCTTCACCTCACTCTGTTTTTTTTTTAATTTTATTTAGTTATTTTTCGAGTACAGTTTTTTATCTATTTCTCCCATCCCAGCCCGCCCCCGCCCCATGCTCCCCACCTCCCTCCCATTTCCACCCCCCCTTACTTCTCGTCCCTGTGTCCTTCCTATTTGTTCCTCCAAATCCCTCCCCTTTTTTCCCCTTAAATTCCCTTCCCTATCCCCTCTGGTCACTGTCCCCTTGTTCTCTATTTCAGTGTCTTTGTTTTTATT